AAGGAGCCAGAGATGATGTTCTTGCCGTCAGGAGAAAATGCCAACGAATAAACGGAATCACAATGACCTTCCAACCGGTCCATCAGCTGCGTGGTTTGGGTGTCCCAGATGCGCACGACCTTGTCTAAAGACGCAGCCGCCAACAGACGGCCGTCGGGAGACAGCGCCACGTTCGTCACGCCGTCCGACGGTCCGCCGCTTTCGTTGCCGAAAATGGCTTGGCACTGACCCGTACGCGCGTCCCAGAGTCGCACCTTTCGATCCCCCGACCCAGATACGATGTGGTTGCCCACGTAATCCAACGAGTAAATCTCCGCCTCGTGGCCGATGAGCGGTGGCGCCTCTTCGTTCGACGCCATGTCCCAAATGCGAATGGTGTTCTGGGGCATGCCAGCCACCAACTTCGTACCGTCCGGAGAAAAGCACACCGCACGGACGTACGCGTCCTCGGCCTCGTTTGCCTGCGCCGCGCCTTCCTTGATGGCCGGCCGTTGGACCCAGAACGTACGAGCTCCAGTCTGCACGTCGAAAACTTGGGCCGTCTTGTGGCACCCAGACGCCAACTTTGTCCCGTCCGCCGAGAACCGCACGCAGCATACCACGCTCTGGTGGTCCAACGTGTGGAACATCTCGACATGGGGACGCTCCGTGTCCGCAACCCCCGTACCTTTGTTGGAGTTGGTGTAATTCAACGCCCACTTGACCTTGCTTTGCTTGGCGGCAGCCGCGTTGTTGAAGTTCGGAGTCGACGCACCCGTCGATGGGGCGCTAGTCGACGAGCCTGGGGGCGTAGTTGGTCCATTGTTGTTCGACGACGACGAAGCATCAGGACCGTTGTCCGACGAGTTGATTTTGCTCAAATGATGCATCTTGTGCGAAGTCGATGGCAGCGGCAGTCCTTGGGCCGACCCAGACGACAAGACACCTCCAGACAACACATGGCTCGGTTGGTTGGACGACAGTCCACCGTTCGAGGGGCCGCTCTTCGACGACTTGCCCTCCGAGCTGTTGGCGGACTTGCTCTTCTTGAGCACTGGCGACGAGTTTGCCGACCCTTCGCCTCCCATGTTGTTGTTGTTGCTGCTGGCAGGACCAGGGGGGCCTGGCATCTGCATGCGCCGGCTCTCGCTCTTCGAGTGGCCAAGGTTGTCTCGGTCCGTCAGTTGCTGACGGTCTCGAAGGTCGTCACCCGACCGGCCGTCCAGATCGTTGTTGCGCGAGGACAACCCAGGGATGGGACCACGGCGACCCGTCGGCGTATGCAGTGACCCTTCCAATGGCGCCAACGACTGCGGCTGCATGGGGCGCTCTTGGCTGCGGTCCGACGGACCAGGGTGCTGTTGTTGCATCGAGCGAGGGCGGTCACGGTCGTCCAAGCCGGAAGGCCGGCCCATCTGAGGCGCAGGAGCCACACGCACTGGACTCGTGCCGCGCGGGCCTCGAGACGGAAGCATGGGAGGCCCCCCCGTGTTTACTTGAAGCGGCGGCATCGACTGCTGGCCGTTCGGGTCGTCGCGGGGCCGCTTCTGCTGCTGCGTCGGCGGCATCATCTTGCCGCCTTCCAACTGCCGACGCAACCGAAGGATGTCGTCGTCGTACTGCTGACGAATACGGCGCTGGTTCTGCTCCAACGCCTTGATGGTTTGCTGGATTTGATCCATCTCTGCCACCTGCGCCGTGATCTTGCGTTCCAATTCCATGTTTTCGATCTTGCTGATGTTCAGCTGCTGGAGCACGCTTTCAAACTCGTTCTTCGCGCTCTCCAGCATCTCCACGACGCGCGACGCACCGCCTCCCGACATTTGCTGGGGGCCCGCGTTTTGAACTCCTACGTTGGGGTTGTTGCCCATACCCATCGAGGAAATCGGGATGTTCCCGCGAATGTCGCGCATGTCGCTGTGTCTCAAATCCCCGCGACCCAATGACCCGACGCCACCGACCGACTGCGGGCCGTTCGGAACCCCGCCGCCGCCGACACCCACATTCACTGGGTTTGGGTTCACTCGACGAGGAACGCTTCCTGGTGCACCACTTCCGGGGTACATGATGTTGAATGCGATGTTGCTTTGATCTACACGTATAAATCATTGTGTGAGTCACTTCCATGCTGCATCATTTGCGTGGAGAAAGGACGGTCCTCTCGTCGCTCGATGGGAAAAGCCGAACACACTGGTCGTGGGTTTCGGACGGAACCCCACCGCCCTATCCCTCGGCAAAGTGTCGTCCTGTATGCTATTCCCTGCGATCTATCGTCCTCACCTGTTGAATGCTTCCTGGTCGAATGCACGCGTAGGGGGTCCTTCTTCGTTGAGTGCCCGCCTGTCGAGATGGGGCGTTTGTGGTGTACAAAGAAATTCCACGTATGCGGTGGACAAGTTCGCCCTATCTCTGTTTAAGCTTGATTTTAGTATGGTATAATTAGTTTTGGAGATGTATAATTCTACCCCACCTGCATCCCGCGTGTTGGCAACGACAATTCGGCGGATCTCTCTTGGCGTTTGTATGGAGTTTTCAAAATTCAAATGTCCAGCTATTTATAGGACTTCAAATGGAACATTTGGTCGCCCCTTCGACAATCCGGATACTGCTGTCGTCAAGCCAGTGAATGTGGATTGTATACAAATCGCTTGGTGTTTCACGGGAGAGTGGATGTAATTTCCGGATAACCAGAGTTGCAGCGAGGGGTGACTGGTGGAGAAGGCGAGATCCACACAGTGTAGGGATGTCATATGTGGTGAGGTAGGTGGCTGTATACAATTCCCTTCCAAGAAGACGACCTGCATTCCCGTACAACCTTGGTCCAAACCATACTTGAAACGCTGGCTTAGAAATCGGATCTGCAAGGAAAAGCTACCTCAACGAGGCTTTAATTCGTTGTTTTCGACCTATTTAGGGATCCATTCTACTGCATGTTGCACTTTGCTCCATTTTGACATGTAGCTGTTGGAATTCCAACAATCTTCAATCGCTGTCTAATGTGTGTTGCACATCAAGCACATGTGAAGAGCGACAGGATATGGATACAGTATATACGTGAATGGTATCCTCCATACTGTGCGATGAGGTACTTTGAAGTATTAAATACAAACAAACTCCAAGGCAAGTAAGTGCCCCTCCATATACATGTTAAAACCGTCATTTGCCACAGATCAGTGCCCTCGACGACGAGGCAACAGTTCGATGGAGCCCTTGTTTAATCGAATTGCTCTAACGTTAACGTTATGTTCGGGGTTTAAGTCGCCAGCCAATCTTGGTCATCCAACAGCACGTTCTTCACCTTGACAACACACACCACTTGTGGCAGGGCATAGAGGTACGCCGAGCAGCACCGTGAGCTTGAACACATGTGGTCGATTGGGACGCGCATCGTCATGGCGGCGGCGGGTGTCGACTGCTACATGATGGCGCCCAACCCGACGGTCCGGGGGAGGTACCATGCCAGCGTGGTTGGATAGGTCCACACGTCGCCGCCCTCCATGTACTCGGTCACGACTGCCAAATATCGACCAGCGAGAGCCTAAAGCACGGTATGATGGGTCGCCGTGAGTTTCATTCCACCGCAGCGATCGTCCAGCGGACTTGAAGGCGATGCTGGGGCGTCGGTTGGACAAAGAAAACTGCGACAGAGGTTGCGTACATGGCACTGATGTTGTTCCCTACGAGGCATCTACAGCCACTCGTCATCATCACGACCGACATTGGCGGACTATTTTTTGGAAAGGTGGCGACGACAACTTGCGTGACGCGGTTGAAGGCTCCCTAGACATTCGAGTGAGCCTCGTTTGAGATGAGACTATCAGGACATTACAAGGTGGCCAAGGCGGGGGAAATATCCCATCGCGTTGAGGCAGTGACGTGAGTACATTGCCTGCCACACACCTGAAGTTTCATTGGGATTAGAGCCAGAACACGACGCGCGGGGAAGGTGCTTACAAGTGCATCGAGGGTCGATGCGAATGACACCGATGGATGTCATCTCGTTGCACTCGACATGTCTACAGATTTCTGTTATGATGGAGTGTTTAAGTGCATTCGTATCTATCATATGCGTACAGATGGGTGAAGTTCACAGGTAGGAGTATCCTGTTCATGGTCAAGGATCTGTAGAGATGAAAAGTCAACTCAAAGGTCCAACAAAGTGACGAACAACTCACAGTGGGGCGATGGTGGGGTTGTGGAGTGCGTTGTGGCGGACGGCAGCGATGGCTTTGTAGTCGAGTTGCCTCAACGAAACACAGTTACAAGGGATCAAAGTCCCAGTACTCAACAGGTACAAAATACTAGTGTCCTGTGGCCACTGAATGCCTTGGATGGATGCGATACTGTTGTGTTGCATGCGACTACTGTAGGCCATCCACAGTTTACTACCTGACCAAGGCGATGCTGGAACAACATCCCCACCACCATGACACATTTATGCTTCAACTACCCGATATAGGACTGAAATACCGGATAAAAGTTCCTTCGTACACCCGAAAGCCTCCAACATGACAACATGCAAACTGGATTGACAGCGTTCTTCGAACGACAAGTGAAAAGTGAACATCCTTGGGGGTTAACTACTAACGTTACCCGGTACTGGTACGTCGATCATGCAAAGCACGGTTTTGAGCTTCGTACCACGCACACTCGTGGACGACAAACGGCGGTGGCGACTTTGTAGGTTCATTCTGCTGGAACCAAATCTGGTTTTCGATCCACGTGCGGTACAAGAATTCGGGAAATGAACGCGCGCACACCACGATGTTGTCGGTCCAGTATTGCACGACTGCCGCCGGCCCTTCATCGTCGACATTGACTTCCTCCACGTGTACTGGAGACGCAATTACGTGGCCTTCCAATGGACCATCGAGCACGAGATACCACATCATGCAGTCCTGTTGGTCTCGATAAAACAACATCACGGTCATGTCCACCTCGGCGACGTACACTGGATCGCGCAGTGAAAAGTACGCTGCCGTGGCCGACACAATTCTGTCCTGAAGCTCTTGGGACGTCATCACACGGATGAATTCAGGGCTCAACGGGTACTCCATTGCGAATTCGTTCAGCGAGGCTGCATTGGCTGCGTGCGTTAACGTCAGTGGGGTCGTTATGGGCGCCCCATCGTTGAGAAAGGCAAGCCCTTCATACTTGACGGATGGAACGCTGGGAATATGCACATCGTACAAGTCGTGTGCCGTCTCGACCGCGGGGAAGTACCAGGCCCACATCAAGGCCACCATGCAAACGTGGAAATACAGTGTGCAACCCTTGGGTTATAATAGGACTTCGAAGTTCTGTAGAAGGAATTTGTATGGGAGGTGAATTATCAATTTCAAAAATTTACTAGAGGCTGCGGAAAATCGAGAAATCCGGTTTCGCCTGGGCAAAACTCGCAAAACGTAATATAATTTCGAATGAAAAGTTAGACAAGTCTTAATTTAAAATGAATATAAAATGTTTTCGAAATGTAAGCAACCCAGTTTACATTTTGTAAACTGAAAATTCAATACTTTGACCTAAACATAACCTACCTAAACCTTGTCCAAATCCTCCCAATTTTTTTGTCCATAGACCTCTCACCAAGTTTTCAACGAATATGTAATCAGATTCATGAACTTCATGTTGGTTCATGTGAAATCACACCTCAAACATTATTGAAGTTTCGTCGGTTTCGTCAACCTTCAACCTAAAAAAGACCAACCTAAACCTCCTTAAATTTCATATCATTTTGGCTCATATAACAGAGCGCAACGTTGAGATAACGCTCCTAGGTTGTTGAATGAAAATACTTTCAAATAGAGTCAAAATTGGCCACGAAAGTTCATCAATCGTGTCAGTTTACAAAATGTAAACACCTGTTTACATTTTGTTACTCCGGAATAACTGCCAAAAGTATTCTAACGTTATTTTCGTTTGAAAGTCAACCTGTCGAATTGAATACCGTTACGTATTGTGGGTTTTGCCCAGGCCAAAAACTAGATTTCCCGCAGATTGCCATCACTACTTCAAGTTCAGCACAAGTGGTCGTGGTTGGCTAACAGTAGACTCGTCATGGATTTTGACCAATTACAGCGATGTAACCATTCCTCACAGCTGGACTCGTATTTCGACGAAATTGCTCAAATTCAATTTCGACAGCGGCAATCGACTCAGGAGGGGGGGTTACCTCACAACCCTCCGACCGACCAAAAACAAACCAACAGACACCCACAATGACCTTAAAATAACATGCTTGACTGTGACGTCGGGAAGGAAGGAATATATGGTTACGCGTAGCTCTATCCGGCAAACTAGTCTAGAGACTGGCTATATTTGCCTTGGACGAGTTTGCATCCGTAGGGCCAAATTTGGACTTGAGAGCACTACAGTACCAGTAGTAGCATTTGAATCCATTTGATCTTATTAATCTTGTGCACACTATACTACTACAAAGATGAGTATATAAATGGTTTTCGGGGTACAACGTTTGGATTGGCAGAAATTTGACATGACGTGATTTGATTGGCTCAGGGGGTTCTTTAATCGATTCTCATAAGACATTCAATTCTGCAGTTTCGAATCGACTATTTTAATAGTATTGTCAAATCGATTGACTCCTCTTCTATTAATATGTATTAAAATACATATTAATAGTAGGGGAGTCAATGTTTGTTATCCGTATGATTGCAATCACCGCTCATTTTCAATTTGAACACAGTAGACGTACGAATACATTTCTTGACGACGATGACGAGGAAGAGAACTTATCGTTCTTGAGATGATGATGGAGTGTGAACATGTACAACCAAGCCGCCCGTCTGTGTACATCCTGGCATGAGTCATTGCCTTTGTGTGTGCGGACATCGTGTCTAGGCGACACTGGCGCGTCCAGAACGAGTTGGGCGTTGGCCGCAAGGCGATCGTTCACGGCTCTCTCCACCCTAGGCGATGACCCATCGTGAAGTTACTCGGGGGAAATAGAAGGGTGTGGAGGACAAGGAGTGCTTATGCATGTGGTTGCCCAGCATGTTCACATCGACACTCTGTCGATCGAGGAGAGCTCAAAAAGGCGAATCAGAGCCATCGTCGTCGAACACTACATATAATGTATCGAATAGCCAAGCTTCAATGTACAAATGTCCATTTTCATCAGCCTTGTGTACGAGACCGTGGTCACCACTCGCCCTCCATTGCGTCCGAATCACACGCACCACAGCGCCGCGTACGTGGGGGACGTCCACGGTGTTCAGGCAGCGCAATCATTCGACACAGCCACACCTTTGTCTTTCGATTCACAGAGCTGAGGGGTCAGACTTGACGAGAATGGTGCATGTGTGGAGTCGATTTCTCTTGATCACCACCACAACAATCCAACTCGCAAACAACGTTCATATAGCTCTATTCGAGTTATTCCAACGACATTGCGTTGAGTTTATCCTCTAACTCCTCATCTTCTTCGTTGTCGCCATGGTGGACGTCCACACATTTGGTTTCCCCCATCTACCACCCCCTCGCTGTTAAAGACGTTCACACCCTCCCTGCATGCATCTCTTACCACTTGACAGCATGCTCGTTCCAACGCTGCGGCGCGAATCTCCGTCACATCAATCGATTCCCTCAACGACAACATGGCGGCTTCCTGGAAGATTGCATGGAGCTGGCCAATGGTCGCGCCTTCACTTCGGTCCGTCAGCGCCGCCACGAGCGCCTCCGTCGACTGGTGATCTGTGGAGACGGGGGTCCCCGCCACCAAATTTGTCAGCGCCGCCCGCCTAGCCGACTCGGTGGGCAGCCCCAACGTAATCTCCACGTCGAACCGTCTACCATGCCGTCAATACCATCCATGCTAAAAGCACCGCGTACCCTGGCCGCAAAATGGACGGATCCAACAGCATCGATGCCGTCGTCGTCGCTACCACCACGACATGCTGCTGGACAAACTCGTCGTGGGTTGTGCACTGTCGCATGTCTACCACAAAGTTGTGACATTGTCTCAGATCGAGCGACGTCACACACTACACTTGCCGTTGGTGCCGAAGCCATCCATTTCAGTCAGCAACGTGCTCAGCACCCGGTCGAACGTTTGCTCGGTGGTAGAATCAAAGCCTCGGACAGGCGCGAGGCTCTCGATCTGATCGAAGAGCAACACACAAGGCGCCGCGGCTCGCGCCGTCGCAAATAGCGCCGCCAATGCCGCTTCCGTCCCGCCCACGACCTTGGTCACCTACCAACAGCATGCATGTAGTTGTTGTCAATCTGCTCGTGTATGTCATACAAGGATTTAGCCAATCAGATTGCAAGAAATCAACATGTCGAATTAGCGTGTGTGTGACTTCAATTAGTGTGTGATACCAATCACCACAGGATTCCCCTGTTTACGTACAAAATATATATCAGGACAACGAATATAATCTATCGATAAATTTGGCAAAGAATCAGCACACAAGTCAGCCAAATTTTGTTTAAAAGAAAGACAATATATTGTCGATTTGATACAAATTTGGGGAGGGGGTGCAATCGAATCGCGCCGACCAAACCGATCCACAATCGATCTGATTGGTTGAATTTCATTGAGAAGGTTTTGATTGGCTAATAATTTTGAGCTCATCTGAGGTAGCCAATCAAATCGATTTAAATTCCAACGAGAAACCACGCCACAACACGATATTTCGCTCGAAAGCACAATATAATAAATATATACACATCCACCCGTGGCGAAAACAAATGAATTTGTATATATCCTATGTATCGTATATCAAAAAAAAGTCCATGGGGGTTGATATTTCGACTCGGAAAATATATAATACATCGTGGCCTCGATTACGATGCTACCGTCCTCGTCCCTATCGCAACAACACGGCATGCCTCTATTCGACGTGTCCGTACCAGGTCTGTGCATTTGACCGATAGACACGTGGCACGCTGCTGGGCCTTGGCGCCAAGCACGGCCAACAGATGCGATTTGCCCACCCCCGACGGACCCGTGATGAGAATTCCCTTGGGGGGCAACATACCCATGCGTCGAAAGGCCGATGAGTCGCGCAACGGCTGCAGCAGCGCCACGTCCAGCGCCGCCCACACATCGTCCAACCCGACCAGGGGCGCCAACAGATGAGATGACGTTTGGGGAAGGTGCTGCACGACGCTGGACGGGCGGACGAGCGACAGGGCGTGCTCCCACGCTGCCATGTCATGCAAAACCCCCGGGTGCTTGGCCACGTGGATCGAGTGCAAAGTGGCTTCGCGCACGAGGTGAAGCAAGTCGGCGCCCACGAACCCGCTCGTTCGACCGGCCACGTCCGCCAACATGCCCGGAGACGGCAATGGCGGCCTGCATTGCCGGCACATCTACGTGAATTGTGGTTAGTAGGAAGGCCCAACCATGCGACAAGGGGTTTACCAGCTCAAGCATGGAGACGCGGTCGGCTTCGCTGGGGGGACGCAATGCGACGTGGTGCAAGAGCCGGCGGCGTACGGACGCATCGATTGCGTCCAGGCGGTTCGTCGTGCCTACAATCGTCGTACGATATAGTGACCGTTGAGAATGATCATCTCGCCTCCGGGATACCACACTTGATCAAAATGAGATACGGTGTGGGCACATGAGATACATTATGTATATATATATATATATATATACTGTACCAATTACAAAGACGCGGGAGGAAGGCTGCTTTGAGGCCTGGTCCAAACAAGCTACCAACACCCCAAGCAGCGACTGGTCCAGTGCGACCGTGCTGGACATGGACGCGATCGCATCCAAGTCTTCAATGCACACGAGCGTCGGAACCGTCGACGCCTTCAGCGCGGAAAACACGCCCGCGAGATGCGCCTCCGAACGCCCCACTTGGGTGTGGAACAGGTCTGGGGCAGACACGGTCACGCAGTGCAGCCGTGATGGGAACGCACGGAACGACGCGTGCAACAGACGAACGAGATGCGACTTGCCGACACCAGGCGCACCGCTGAGTACCATACCCACCGGCAAGGTCAGGGGCATCGCGGCTGGCGGGTATAGCGAGTGGACGATGGTGGACACGATGCGATGGAGGTCCGTGATGTAGCCTGCCATGTGGGTGCTCACGTGGGTGAAGATGGAATCGATGAGAAAGGAGGGAGTTGGACGGGGGTGTTGGGCAGCAGACAAGTGAACTCGAGGCGATGTGATTGTGATGGCGATGGCGGTGGTCGCGTCGATGATGGACACGCGAGGACGCGATGCGTCGTCGTCGATGCACACGTGAGCAAGTTCGAGCGTGTGGCGCCACGTGATGGGAAGGACGCGGCCATGCCAGGCCAATGACCCGCTCAGTAGCTACAGCGACGACACGCTAGTAGACAAACGAGGATGAGCATTGTACCTGCGGTCCAATGCGTTCCATGGCGCGAGTGATCTTGGACGCGGCTGGAGCGTCTTGAAGAGATGGAATGTGAAGGGTGACGCTTGTTGCGATGGGAATGGTGACCACGGAGGCTCTGAGCGCCACGACGTAGCAGTTAAACGCTGCATTGTCTCTTTGGTCGACCGATAATCGAGCCATGGTGGACGATATGTGGGAGAGTTGCAAGGATACAGCTAGGCCGAATGATCCTAGTGCAACAGGTCGCCGCTCGGTGGCAACAGCGAACGTGGCGACAATGTCCTGCATGCTGCGCGGCAAGTGCTGCAATGACAACACCTGCCCATACACAAGAGGCTCACTAACGTCCATGAGACCCCCATGAATGGATGCAATGGATCCTTCGTGCAGATCACTAAGCAGATGATCGTCCTCCATGTATATCATCGTGCGGAAGTCTTCATGTCCGTCATGTCGATGCGGCAGCGCTACGCGAGGGACTACGAGAAGTATCTCCATTCGAACTCGAGCAGATTGCACAGAATGTGCAGCATATTCATTGGCTAAAATAACCTCGTTCTGGCTAATGATTGGTCTACCCGATTTGAACGCTGCAATTAGATTGGATAGATAAACTCCAGACCGCAATGTCATTGGAAGACATTTCAGAATGCAATAGTGAAATCACCGTCTTCTTCGATCAGGCGGCACAGTGAGAAGGATGCAGGCCAGAGGGACTCGATGCGTCCATTGCACTGAGCTCCTGCCGATGAAGAGCGCATTCTGTTTGAGCTGTGGCACCCCTCAATCATCTACGAGCACGTCGTCACATGCCGCCATCCTTTGTGCATCGTGCAGCGTCGAAGTGCATGCTTCCACCAAATTCTGTCCCGGATGCGGTGCGGCCATACACAGACGGGGCTCCTTGGCCTTCACTACCCCCACAACCTCTGCAGTCACCCAAACCTTGCCGTCGTCATCAAGTCGACGCTCGCACGGGCTTGACATGTCGGACATAGAAGAAAAGCGCCGACTCGACCAAACACTCACACAAGTCGATCGCGCGCGGGAAATTGCAGCTGCGAAACGCGCCATGGCCGATGCTAAGTTGGCCCACCTCGAGCGCAACATGCGACCTTCGGTGGTCTCCAAGGCCGCGTCCAGTGCCCAAAAGTCTCGGAAACCCAGTGCGGATCCACGTCTACCTGTCCCGTCGCCTCCTACGTCCGACCACCTTCTCTGCGTTCACTGTGGCGTTCTTGGGAGTCTTCGGTCCAAGTTTTGCTCGTCTTGCGGTAGAAATCCGTCTCAACCCGTGGTGCCCGCGCCATCGATGCCCGACTTGCCGTCCCCACTCCCACTGTCGTCGCACCGTCTACGCCAACCTTCTTCCACCAGCAGCTCACCGTCGTGCCCTCAATGCCACGCACCTCTGATCGTTCCAGATGCAAAGTTCTGTCCATCTTGTGGTGCCACTACTGGCCTTCCAACCACCTCGTCGTCGTACATCGTTCCAGCTTCCACCACTCGTACTTCTCGACCCACCTCCTCCGCACCAACTACCTCCAGAGCTCCCATGGCGGCTGCGTCGCGATATTTATCAGCCGCGGCGTCTGCGGCCACATCGTCCACAACGCCTCCGCCATCCATCCCGTCCGTTGCCCCTCCATCATTTCCATCTCCCCCGTCGTTTGGCACGGCTTTTGTGCCACCAGAACAAGGCACAGGCCACGTCTACACAATCTCCCAGACGATTTCTCGGTCGGTTACGTATAATGCAAGCTGAAGTAAATGACCAATTTATAATTACTGTACCAATATTTATGATCACTCCCATTGAGCCAATCACATCGCGGTATTTTTTGACAAGAAAGCCTCCAAAACTGGATACGTTACACACGCTAGCCATGCCGAAATTCGACTTGAAAATGGGAAGTTAACCTAAAATTGCTAATTGCTCATCATGGATAGTATGGGTGCTTGCTTGTCAGGGAAATGACAGGTGTCGAAGACGACACAGACCTACCGTATTCCCCATCTACCTGTACCCAAGCATTATCGTTACCCAATACTTTCACGCGCGCTGATGCCATGGCACTCAGCAACCGAGACTAACTTACTGTGGTACACTGTACCGTAACGTCAACCTGTCCTAAAATCAACGTTAAGTCCATCGCTCTACCGACGCGTCCCATGTCCATACATACACGGACTTAATGACGTGGCAGCCTGCAGGTACAGCTCCATGCACGGGGAATATCCCTGGGTCCACATAGGCACTGGGAGTGTCGACGTCTTTGGCTAGAGGAGTTGAGGCCGAGCTACAAGTCGTGGTCATCCACTGGCGGAGGGTGTCGAGGGCTTGCCGACGCCGACGCCGCACCTCTTGCCGCGCGAGGTAGCCACGCATCCACTTCTGTAGGGTTAGGAGACTGCGACGGCGGTAAACATGGCGAGGTCGCCAGTGGTGGGTCACAAAGATCGTGAGCGACGGATGGAAACATGGAGACTTGGCATCGGTTGCCAAGGATGTGTCGTATATGTCATGTGATGGGGTGGATTCGATGGAGTTTGTGCATGGAGGGGGGGCAATTGCTACTGGGGCAAATGAAGGAGCACTTAAGAGTGCCCGAGGGTAGATGTCTTGGTCAGTGGTAGATGCCGAAACGGCGTGCAAGGTGGGTGGGGTGGTCGCCTTATCGACTTGTAAGTGCCAACTCGTGTCATCGGACGACGTAGCATCAGCGTCGGCACATGCTTCGAGGATGTTTGAGTTTATTTTAAGTCGCACCGTCAGGGGCATTTCATTCGGAGTGGCGACCAGTTCGGCGTCCTCTTCGACCTTTGTGGGACATGCTTCGACGATATCAATAGCAAGAGTCGGTCTGGCGGTGGAGTGGCGCACCATTGGACGGGTCAGATCCGTCGTCGAGTCGGGAAGGGTGATGCGCCCCACTGATGGATTCGCAGCAATTGAAGGGTCAACATGTGCCACTACCGCATCCTCGGGTTGGTCACCATTCAGCCCGTCTTTTACGACGTCGTGTCGCCCTGTGTTGATGATGCTCTCGGAAGGGCTTGGTGTGGAAATCATCAAGGCACGTCGTCGGCGCTGGAGTTGAATCGTGTGGTGCCGCAACGCTTGAAACGCTGTCGAGGCCACATGCATGCGATATGCCGCCTGACATTTGGTCACGCAGCACACCCACTGCGCACTCCTGAGCCTTCGGCGTTGGCATCGCACCCACGATTGAATTCGGCTGGCTGCTTGGCGCCTTCGTCTCCACACCGTTTGGATGGCAACGACAGCACGATGCCGCTGATCTTGTCGCTGGTGTTGTCGATGGGTAAAGCGAAGATAAGCCCGTTGAATCTGCACAATAATGTAGCGAAAAGGCATGAGATGAACCAGCTAACTAGCATTACACACGATAAACGAATCCAACCTCCACACAACCCATGTGTATTATATTCGATACAATAATCCCAACAGCGTAGTCGTACGTACCACAAGGCATGCATGCGACCGTGTGATCAAGAGCTTCCGCCGCCATGCCCGACTGACGACCCTCCGTCGCCACCGCCGTGCGGCCATACCAATCTACAGTGCTCCAAAGAAGGACATATTCGTAACCAGAGCTTAAATATGGACAATAATCATCCCATACGTGATGCGCAGCACAACGTTGGTTGGCTAGCCGGCTAGTCAAGCGTTTGACGACACATCGACCAGCATGCCCCCTCCACATTCGCTGCACCGAGGTGGCCGCACAAATGCGCCTCCGATACATGACGTGGCGCCTCCAGGTCCGTTGGATGGCTCGACCCGCTCGATGGCGCTTGGTGGCCACGATTGACGCGGTCAGAACGAGGTATTGCATCGCCTGCCTTCGCGCAAACATGCCAATGAGCCGCCGATACCTGGCCAGCGTTGTCGTGGAGGTCGGAGCAGGGTTTGTAGCCTCAGCCTTCGCAGTGTTTTTGGTGTGCCAAAGGTGTCGACGACCCTGTAACTTGTTGGGTGGGTGTTGTACAGCAGGGGAATCTTGTCTCGTGTCGAGGGAAGGGGAATTCAATGCAGTTTCGTGGATGTTTAATGTGCTAGTGTGTTGGTGTCCATCTTGGTTGCATTCGACTTTGTGAAGCGGTGGCTGAATTGCCAAGTGTGGTGGTCGTGCTTGTACTTGTTGGTGGTGGATCATGGGTGGCGGATACATGTTTGTGGATGCAGAAGGTGCAGTGATGTGGCAGGCGGAGGTCACAGCAGGGGCCAACTTAGATTCTCGTAAGGATAAAAGTTGCTGCAGGTGGACAGAGTGTAGTTTTGAAGGTTGCGGTTCATTTCGGGTATTATGAGCGGGCGACGACTTGGCCGATCGAGTTGGATATTTACGACCAGGGCGTTGATGCAACTGTATGTCTTGCAATGCCGACGTCGAGGACATTCGCTTGGTCATATTAAGAACATGATACTAAGTGCACGATGGTCCTTAGCGATAGATACTGACATATGAAGCGTTACAATTTCATTGAAAATGAAACTGCCCTCCGTTCATCCACTTCGAATCAATGACACGCCGGACAATATGACTCGTCCTGGTGCTGAGGTCTCGTCGCTCGAGATCGATGCCAACAGGTCCGACGTCACACACACATACAGTAGATCCGTGCACCCCCCGCGTTCTCATAAGCATCATGAATACATGCGTCTGTCGACGACATTGAATGTAACATGGACATGTGCGTGTCATCAGTGGCTAGGATGGCAGCCATTGCTTTGGCATCAGCAGCGTACATATTGGCGAGGAAACGACTTTGAAACGGCCGTCGAGGTGAATTTAATTCCACTGGACAGTCTTTATACTTGCTATTTGTATGTCAGCGCTGTAACGATCGGGTATTTAATTACCGTAGAGGGGGTTTCAAAGTTGGTTTTCCCAGTCAGATGTGAAGCAAGCGTGCGTTTTGCCTTTCATCCTGTACGTTTTGGCACCTCAACGTTATTACATCTTTGCCCCACGACGGTGAGCATGTCCAAGAAGAATCTGTCGAACATCCGCACCGCCACCATCCATGGCCCCGTCCTCGTGTCTCCCATCTCGGTTGCGCATCGGGTACTACAGCATGTGCCACTACCGCTGAGACGCGACATCTCTCATCTTGTCTTTGTTCGCACCTTGGTTAGAACAAAGCCATGGAAGCAACAACCGCTGACGGAAAGAAAGGTGGCGAGGGCAACAACCAAGTGCGGGCGCAGTGGATTGCGAACCTCAAGAAGAAAAGCATGGCGACCGAAGGTGGCTTGAGTCCGCCCACGTTGACATCGACGTCGTCGCTACCGCTTCACCATCACGACCATCATATGCAGCAGAAACATTCATGCATCCTCTTAGCGACCGAGGTAGACAACCACACCATCAATGACATAACACAGCTCAAGCTGCTATCACATTCGTATCCGTACCACATACTCATGGAGCGATCGGTATAGAACCTGGGCTACGACATGTACTCGAACGTGAAAGTCGAGCCCAAGGCCACCGTGGACATTTTGCCCAAGAAATGGATCAAACCTTTGCTCAAGAAGCGCAACAATGCGCTGGACATGCACAGCGGCCCCAAACCCCGAACCCCGCGGCGCAAACTGAACTGTGGCAACGCGTTCGAAGAGATGCACATCCAGACCAGCAACCAGCACATGCTCGGCGACACCGCGTGGGGAGGGTTTCTGGGCGTGGGGACGCCGTCGGCGCACTACTATTCGATCATGCCCCACCATCTCCACCCCCCGACCAACCAGCCACATGCTACAGGTGGCGCCCTGCTTCCGAATGACCACTTGTTCGGCCCGGACATGGACTTTGGATGCAATTTTGACACGTTTCTGGATCTGCCCACGCCCAAGTCGGCGGAAATGCCCAGTGTCGTCCCAAGCTTTGCTTTGCTCCACGACCAAGAAGGAGACCCCCATCGTCACCACGACGGAGGACGAGGTGTAGCAGCAATCACCCCCCGAAACAAGTTTTTGGAAAAGCCGTACCAACCCCCCCCCGCGTTGGTACGGACATCCAGCGTGGAGCAGGAAGGGCTAAGCTACTGCCTCGGCCAGACGCGGTTGCACTCGTCGTCGCCTTCGTCCAATCAAGACGACAATGACTATCATCGTTCGTCCCCCGAGCCCCAGCCAGATGGCGCGACCACGAACCTTACCCCCAGGGCCCAATCGTCCGGATGTATTTTTGACCATAACAAACACCCCGAGCTCGAAGGCATGTTCGACTACGAGTTCAACGACGACGACATTGACAAAGAAGTGGACAACTTTTACATGGCGGACGGCCACGAGCTTGAGATCGACCTCATCGCGTAACCTGTTGTTGTCTAAAGCTAGAATTCCACCGGGACGACAAGCGCGCCACCCACGACGAGGTGTAGCCTTCCCTCACCCCTCCTCACGTAGTAGTAATAGTCATGTTTCGCCCTTTCAGTTGCGAATCGTTCCCGTCCATCCATTATAATATCAATTTTGTGACAACGTTACATGAGACGTGGTGATGCCTCCCAAACACGGTTTGGCGGCGGTCGAATGCTGGACGAGGCACGACGCACCGTCCTGTGGACATGACAGAGGAAACCGTCGGATCGGACAAGGACGATCGGTATTGCAATGTCACAGACATCAGTTGGCTATGATGTGCGACGAGCGACAGTCGTACTGGAGTGTTCCCATGATGTAACTCAAGTTGGGGTTGAAATTCATCCAGCAAAAACTCGTAGCCGTGTTCTGTTTGAACGAGGTAGAGCACCATCTACCGCTGTACGGGCCGTTGCTCATGGGGGTGAAGTTGGAAGGAGCACCAGACAATCAAGCTTGAAGGAATCCTCACCTAAAATTCTGCGGCCAAGTCCTTCAAGGGCAGGTATGGAACTGTGTGGGTGCAGATGGACTCGACGAGTCGAGTAGACGGACTTGGCGAGGAAACTGTTGATGAGGCGCATGTTCTTGCAGCGTTTGTGCTGGTTGATATGTCCCGCCGCGCTTGTTGGACGTGGTTCAACAATAACACGTTGTCGCACAGTAGCATGAGAACGTTCCTCGTCCGATTAAGGTAGATGAGCTTGGACGCGCTGCATTAGCTTAACACTCACCCGAACGACAGGTGCAACACCAATCGCCCAGTGCGCCACCGAAATCGATAGCGTCAAACGCGAACGACCTTGCCACAGCAACGCGCACTTTGGAATCTTACAATTCATTGTAAAGCCGCCCACAGTACAATGTTCACTCGTCGTGACTGTCTCGATGAGACAGCGTCCCCCCAAGTGATGTCGACGTGGTCGTCCAGTTGGCTGTTACATCTCCTTGACATGTGCATCGCAATACCAGCGAGCATATATATTATCCTAGCAGGTCGCCTCGGATGTCTTTGCAGGATCGCTTTGTCCAGTCCCAATACCACTATGGCGTCGCACGGTTGTAAAAATACCCTAAACAAACACCGATATATCCCTAATACAGACGAAAATCCCTAAATACCCTAAATAAACGATATTTCGCTTTTCACCGAAGTGCTCATCGACGAACTCAGGTCATACATGAGGGCGTTCCGCAAACAATTCGATTGCAACGACATCACTTGACGTTATCCCGTCTTGGCCTCCACACATGTGGTTGCCTCAAGCAACAACAGAGTGCTTACAGTTATTAAATAGTAATACCACTACATACTGTAGGCATATCATTTTTTGGACACGTGGCTGGTTAACCGGCATGAACGAAGCGAAAGCATCCGTCGTGGTTGCGCGCGTTGGGCTCGAAATGGTACAGAACGCGGTATGGCACGGGGAAATGCGGCAGGTACGCGGCCCAATCTCGGATGGCGACAGACGTGGAGAATGGCGGCGCGGGCAACTCTTCTTGCATTGCAAACGCTTGTGGATGCGACGCGTCTGCCATGTACATGGTTGCTCGAAGGAGAAGCATAATGGACACGATACCTGGAACGAGCTCGAGCAAGAGAGAAAACCATCGGCGGAGACGATGCCGTTCGTCCTTGCTGTACGCCGCCGTCGATGAAATCACGACCACATGGCCCATGCCATGCACTCGATGCATAAACTCCATGGTTTCCTTTAAGAGTGCTAGACATCGGAACAATGCCGCGCTACAAGGACCAGTTGAGGAAGTGATCGATGGCAAGTCGTTGGAGACCGTACTCGGTGGCAGGTTCGTCTTGCCAGAATAAATCAAAGTCGTCCACGATCAAAGCAATGGGTCGGCCACCAAGGACATGCAACGAACATGCGAAATGGCACAGCTGGGAAGCGTTCCGCAGGTACCTGGACTCATTGAGCATGGACGGGGGGACATTTCGATGGTACATGTAGATCGTACTTCATCCGGACACGTTCCCAGTGGAGGACGTCTCGGCCGCTCTTCATGGGTGTTTGACACGCCTCGCACGGATTAATGGGGACAAAGCGCTCGGGCATACTTCGCATACTTTCGTGGCATACGAGCACGACGTATGGCAACGGGTCAGATGCCTTGGAGGAGGACATGTCGGCCACGCCTTGCGGTGTTGCTGTCCTCACGAGGTCGAAGGCATATTGGAAGGCCAACGAACTCTTCCCGCACTTGGAAGGTCCATGCCACAGCATCATGCCAATATCAGATGTGATCATCGCTACCTCCTTCTCCACATTCTCACATGCGACAGCACCGTCATCGCGGTGCGAAAAGCATCGCTCCATGTCCCCGCCAAATTTGAAAACCACTTGTGGTTATCCGGTTGATTTCAAGTATCCGGATAGTGTCCATTACATTGTGAATCTGTGTGGTATGATGGTGGCTTGATGGCACTTAGAGAGAGGGAGGTACTACCGGTAGGACGTTACGAGGTCTCTCTGCTAAAGCGTTGGCAGAGTGTATTGTATAAGCGTCCGACAGCAACGAACCGCCGTCATCGTAGGCATTGGACACTAGCATTGTGTCCTGATGTTGTTTGACCGGTCGCACATGCATTGCAACCCACCAAGCGCATACTGTAGTTAACGTTAGTTATCCTTAGCACACCGAAGTTTTCAATTGCTATGAGCATGTTACAGGGCATCAAATAAACCCGTATGAGTGTCATGCTCGGGTGGCGCGGTCTGAAACAGCGCCGACTCGAGCGCGGCGTACTGGGAACCGAGGCTGTCAGAGATGGTGCCAAATACTTCGAGGATTTCTCCGTCGGGGTTCTTGATGAAATGGCGGTATAGCTGCCGCGACCCGTCCAGCTCGAGGTTGAAGATGGCAATGTGCACCGTGGTTTCGACGAACGCCGGGTCCAGTGGGTCGCGCAGCTCGTACTCGCACACGGCGGTCTTGCGCTGAGTGCCCGTCATGGACTTCCACCGCGCCGCCCGATCGCACAGCGCGGCGACGTCGGCGTCGGACACCTCGAAATCGTTGGGGACGAAGAACACGCCTTCCCGCGCGTGGATGCGCCGGTACACGTCGAGCATGCGGCCGTTCATGTGGAAATGCAACAAGTAGGTGTAGAACACGACCGCCGCCACACTCATGAGGAAGCCGTACACGAGCAGCGTGAGCACGGCGCCTACCACCCCCGTGCCTTCCTCGCTCTTAAAGCGTTGGTACAGCTTGAACGCGTCACCTTCAGCACACCTACAGTCGTTTCTTCAATCAATCACATCTCCTACAAGAGTTTCCTTCATCTCATTCTAAATCAAAGGCCAAACATAAGCATATTCCGTCCACACATGGTCAAGCTAGCTTGGCTCCTGGATTCATGTACACAGCACCAGGATTGGACATGCATGCTCTACGGAGGCCACTGAAATCCATAGGTGGTCACCCAACCCGAAGCAGAATAGAAAATTTGCACTGCGAGGTCGAAAGATCGACATGTCGTTTGTTCCCAGGGTCTTGCTTTGGCGATACATACCTGCATGAGGATGACGACGGATCTTTGCATTCTCCGATCGACGCGCAGTCGTAGTTGTGCTGGACCAAATCGATGGCGAGCACCAACATCGGATCGAACACCGTCGCCAACCCAAAGCACGCTATGAACCGGCTCCCAATGTCGGGGAACTCGCCGAGAAGTTTCTGGCACGCCGACGCAATCCCCATGAGCCCGATAAACGTGGCAATGTTGAACACGACCCCCACGGCGATCACACCAATCTCCGTCGGTGTCGGCACCGTGTTCCACGTGTACTTGAGCACGACCGTGAGCATTTGCGGGTTGAACGCAAACACAGGCACGTTGACGGCACGGAGGTACAGCCACTGGCCAAGGTAGTGCACGTACACTCGTAGCCACAGCGCGAGACACAAGAACACGACCATGAGCCAAAACTGCATCGTCGTCGCTTTGTTGAACCCCATGTCGGCAAAGAGCTAGGAAATAATCATGTGATGCATATCTTCGTCGTCGTCGTACCTCTTGCTTCAGGTACCGCAGTTTACGAGCCGTTTGGAACCGGGTGTGCTTGGCGACCTCGTCGCCAATGTATTGGTTGGTAGCAAACGTAAACCCTTCCCACGTTTGGGCATGGGCGGGCTCGGGGGCGTCGACAGGCGGGAATGGATCGTCCAGCATGTCCTTGTCATCGTCGTCGTCATGCTTGTCAAGAAAAAGGTCTCTCGTCGTCGTCGTCGCCTCCTGAAAACACACATGTGTCAGAGAGTTGTGAAGGTAGACGTGTCGTACTTGGGGGGTCTGTGACAGGAGGTTGGATCTGGAGGCCTTAGAGCCTTGCCGTCGGCGCCACCGCCGTCGAAACCATTGCCGCCATGACCTTGATTTGTATGGTTTGGAGTTGTCTTCGTCGTCATGATGAAACATATCATGGCGATTGTCGTCGGCGTCGTTCGCAGCTGCATCCGCGTCGATGGGCGTCACTTTGGTTGACGCGTGTCGTGGCTTAGTTCTTCTCCTCGTTTTCACTTTGGCTGCATCTTTGCCCCAAGATACGGTGTTGGAGAAGCTCACGGGAGTGGGGGTCAGCAGGTTTTGCGGTCGCCTCCGCCGTCGCGACGACGACGACTGCTCTCTGCGTGCTTGAACGTGGATATCGTCGTCGTACGTGCCTTGGGCTAATAGGTCTCGATCTGTGCTTTCGAGCTTCAGAAGCTGGTTCATCACGTCCACTTCCACGTCGTACTCGCGCTGGAGCATGCCAGTGGCGTCCAAGCGCTCCCGAGGGAGGTGGCGCACGGTCACGTACATGTTGCACAGCCACGACGACAAGTCGGTCAAGTACATGTGCTCGATTTCCTACCAATCCTCTGTGAACATTCTATCGCAACGAGGAATCGTAGTACATGAAACTTGGTGATCGTATGGTCCACATCACCGCGGATCAACGGCACTTTAAATCGCCCTGCCAGCACGTCAAAGTCGGCATTGCACACTGGCAGGACACCCCAGCCCACGACGGCATCCTTGGTTGCGTTCGCACCGCTGAGAAGGTACATTTCGAACACGACCACATTGGCTAGCCCATTGTTGTTCATACAATTTGTTGGGCTTCAATGGTTTTGATGTCGTCCCTACTTCCTACGACGCACCTGGTCGAAGTTCGTGCTGGGGGGGACACACGACGTATACGTTTTGGTCCACGGGCAGCTCGGTGTTGTAAAAGTGGCCGCGGTGACTCAAGGGGGTCGTGAGCCCGGGGAGGGCGGTGCCGATGCCGCGATCCCCCGCGACGCTCCACGAGATAGGGCTGCCCCCCAGCCGATCGTACAGCGTTGCAAGCAGGACGTAATGGCCTTGGGGGAGTTTGTCCTTGACCGCTCGCAGCATGTGCACGTGGATCTCGATGGGTTGGGGGATGGACGCCCACTCGGTGCGGTACCGCCGGTGGGTGTGTGACGACGAAGAAGGGGACGACATGGTGCCGTACGTGTGCTGCACATGCGCTTGTTGCTGGGTGAGGACGTTCTTGAGGTGCGTTTCGGCTTGGTGGTAGACATGCCAGAGGGACTTGGACTGCAAGTTGACGACTTGCAAACTTTGCAACTCCTTGGCCGCCATCTTTTTGGTGTGCGCGATGGCTTCCTCGGCAAGGCGGTCACGCGCTTTTTGCTCCTTGTATGCTAAGAGCGTTTCCCGCATTTGGTACTCATTGGCTTCTTCCTACAAAACGGACGATCCATTCACAATTGTTGACATCGCTCATGTGAAGTTGCTGGGGACGGATAAGGATGACTGTAGTTTAGGACGTCCACACACACCTGGGCGCGTTGGATCCGAGCGCGTTCGAGTTGAATTTCGCGCTGCTGGACCACCTCCAGCGGAATGCTCGCGACGACTACTTCTGCCGCAGGGACGACACCATCGAAATCGTCCACGTACGCCTTGAGAAGGTGGGTTTTGGAGTCTTCTTGGACCTGGTCGATGACGTCGTGGTCGGTCGACGTATCCGGCGCGGGCACAGTTGGCGCCATGAGCAGGGCCTCAAAGTCATCGTCGCCTTCCTGCTGTTGTGACTGCATATTGGTGGATGGCCTTATATGCTCGTCTCCATTGGACACCATTTGTCGTGGTTGTGTCGGAGGTCGCTGCTCACGCAGAGGTCGCGCTGGAGGTGGATGACGTTTGACTTAGAAAACGACGCCAATCTAAAAATAAGTGTCACAAGAGTGCAATCATTTGCTGCATACATTGGTTCTTGACATGACAGGATGGGGCGAGGCTAGGAAGACGAAGAAAGGCAAGTCGCCCCTAAAATCGCCACAACCAAAGTCCCGCAAAGTCCATGCGGGGCAGCATGCAGAGGAGCAGGTAGGCCATCACTTGACTGCGTGAAGTTTCATGGGTTTATGGTGATTCATGTCATGTAGCAAGCTGGTACATCGTCCAGCCCCAAGACATCCAAGGTAAGGAACCGCAAGTCTCACAACACCCCCCTCCCCCTTGAAGCCAACAATTTGCAGTCATAGCGTGTATCAGCATGACTAAGAGGGTATAAATATGTAGCCACCAGAAGGCCGCAAAGTCGAAGTCAAGCCCAAGCTGTTGCGTCGAAGTTCGTCCGAAGGCAGTGCATATATGCTGGTGAAACAAAAGAACAAAGAGGTGACGACGACCTCGTAGCAGCCTAGCTCAGTTTTGCCCTTGTAAAGTCGTCCAATTCACCATCCCTATGTACCTCGATCAGGCCCAGCACAAGATGTTGACGACTTCGTTTCCAGATGACTACTCGGAAGCCTCGCTCTTGGACACCATGTCGTCTTGGCTGGGCCGCCTCCTCGGACTCAATGCGACGCCACACTCGATGGACAAGATCCTTCCGTTCCTCTTCCTCGGCAACGACCACGCCGCCAGCCACCTGCCCGACCTCCGCAAAGCCGGCATCACCCACGTGTGCAATGTCGCGACCCAATGCAACGACCACTTTCCCGACCACTTTGAATACCTCCACCTCCATCTCTTCGACTCGCCGACCCAGAAACTGGCCAAACACATCAAGGCTGCGGGCGCGTTTATTCATCGCGCCAAGCACACGAACGGCCGCGTGCTCGTGCATTGCGTTGCAGGTTGGTCATAGTAGGCGCTTTGAACAAGATGGGATATGTAGACGTAGACGTCGGGTTTTTCCTCCGGGAGAGTGTTGGGGCTCGTTAGGGTGTACTAAGTGTGGTGCATGACGTGGCGCAATGTGGTGTAGGCGTGTCTCGATCCGTGTGTGTCGTGGTGGCGTACCTGGTTGAGCACTGTCACATGCCCCTCGTGCAAGCGTACGACTATGTCAAGCGAAAACGACCAGTGATGTGCCCCAGCGAGTCGTTTCGTATGCAGTTGGCCATGTACGAGGTATTTCTTGCTTGACGTATATGATATATAAACGGCACTTTGCCTCAACATGGGGGTCATGATAGATTGCTCTGTTTGAATCGTCGTCGGTGCTGTCGACTTCCAACTCGGACTGGGACTTTTACGAACTCAACATGTATCGGCAAACCAGAAGGCGGCATTAATATTATTAGGTCATGCAACTATTTAACGCTAAAATAGATTTAACCCTCGTACGTACATGGACACGCATCTCCAACAGGTTGTTCCTTCGTATCCACAGGCCATCCGATGGGGAAAGTGATTTCGGCCGCCATGTGATAGAACGCCTACTGGAATACGTATCACAGCCGTCCATCTCAAACGCACGAAGTATGGACAGACAACGACGAGAATTTCCCCCTCTCCCAAAGCCACAACCATGAAGCCCTGGCTCCTCGAGTATGTATAGTAGTTCACGTGAGGCAAGTTAGTACTAGTACTACAAGTATTACTAGCTGGCTTTGTTTTGGCCTTTGTGGTGGTCGTGGCTGATATCTTGGAGCAAATGCAATGCGTGGGGCAGCACGGGGGCGATGGCGTTGAGCGTTTCGACGACGGCGTTCGGTTTTCCAGGCAACGTCACGACCAGCGTATGGCCACGGATGCCCGCGACCGGCCGCGCCAGAATGGCCATGGGGGTCACTTCTAGCGACGCCTGGAGCATCTTGTGCACCAACCCCGGCGCGTCTCGGTGCAGCAGTGTCTACCCAGAATATCAAGTTAGCGAACTAGTAGTACTACTAGTAGAAATTACAAACACACCTTGACGGCTTCGGGGGTGACATCGCGGGGACTGAACCCCGTGCCGCCAGAGGTGACGACGAAGTCGACGTGGAGGTCGTCGCACCACGACCGCACAACGTGTTGGATCTCGTCGTGCTCGTCGGCCACGATCGCAGCTTGAACGATTTCCACGTCCAAACCAGGAATGGCTAGGTCGGATTCAGTATAGAACATGCACGACAGGGTTCAGAAGACTATTCGTTTCTTTATTGTCGATTTGATACAAATTTGGGGAGGGGGTACAATCGAATCGCGCCGACCAAACCGATCCACAATCGACCTGATTGGTTGAATTTCATTGAGAGTGTTTTGATTGGCTAATAATTTTGAGCTCATCTGAGGTAGCCAATCAAATCGATTCAAATTCCAACGAGAAACCACGCCACAACACGAAATTTCACTCGAAAGCATAGTAAATGAACAATATGTATTCACGATAGTCAATAGGATGCAAACGTTGAAAGTGCAATCTACACTTGCATGATAGTTCAGACGAATATTCTATTCTTTATATTGAAAAATATATATTTGCACGATAGGGTAGGATATTTTACTCGATTCGATATTATGCAACCATTCAAAGTACAATGTACTACTGTATGTACACTTGGTCGAAACAAAAGCATATATTCATATGCGACGACGTACCTAGCAACGTGGATTGCATGACTGGACCACTGCGGTCTATGGCCAGTCCTTGCGACACGGAATCGCTCACCTGTACAACAATCAATCAAGCTGAAACAGCGTTCCAAGGTACCGTCAAGACGCACGCCCGGACGCGCAACCGTTTCGCTGTCACAGGTCTAGTCTGCGACGGGGTTGGGGCACGTTGTGGCGGCGGCAGGTGGACATGAGGCACGGCCGATGCTCCGCCGCCCTAAAGCGCAGAACTATGAGCCAAACCAGGTTGAACCCAATCTATTAAACGACGAGAGGTGCAAACGATGGTACTAGTCGGGTGGTATGGTTGTGATTATTAGTCTAAACTGGAGCAACATGGAGAATGACTCGACACAACCACATGCACAGTACTACTACCATTATCGGCAGAAGCATTTATAGCCAATCAAATTGCAGGAACCCATCATCCCCAACATACAGTATATTTAGTGTGTGTGACTTTTTTGATTCAATGTTGTTCGCATTCTTCTTCAACAGATGAAGAATTAGACGAAAGAGATTTGGTAAATGATGCTAATGAAAAAATTATAATTCCTGCTAATATTAGATTAGTAGCTAATCCTATTGATATAATTCCTATTTTATAGTAGCTATAAAAGCTAAATATTTTGGATTAGTTTTGAAACGGGGTATAATTAAATTTAAAATAAAATAAATAATACATAAAGCATTACAAATGTGTTGTACAAAAGTCCAAATGGGGGTAAAAGGACAATACCATGTCGGAGAGAAACGTGCAGTCCACGACGCTACCCGTTGCCAGTTGGGTGCCCACGGGCAGGTGCAAGAGGGCGTTTGCATGGCGGCAGCTGCGCAAGTGTCGAATTAGACAAATTCCTTCTTAACGTGCACACAATAAACCATGCCCCATACTGTATGTAGCGTAAAACGACTAGGTTGATTTGTATAGTTGGTCCACACCTGAGCAGCCGACTGCTGGCCTGGACCCCCGTGCTCGTGGCCACCCATTCGGTGCGTTCCCACCGCACCACCGCGCGATGGTACTCTGGTCGGTCCGTGTCCAACGGCAGCGGATGGAGCAGCCGCGCTTGAAACACCACGGGCGCCGCTTGTTCCGCCGTGAACCCCCCGAGGCGCTTGAGTGCTGGCTGGACGAGCAGGCACGATGTCACCAGGCAGCTCACGGGGTTCCCAGGCAGGGCAAACACGAGCTTGGGCACCCCCGCAATAGGGACCTATCGCCACAACAACCAAGTTACTACCGTAGAAATGCCATCTTGGAAGCCAGCGCTGGTACATAGCGTTCAAACACGAAAATAAACAAGCAACCCCTTGTATATGACATTATCTGACCAGTATAGAATAATGCCGTCAAGAAATATATATATTATAATACGTGACATATTTTATATATATATTGTTAGTACATACGGTGGCCACGGTGGTGGGCTTGCCAGGTTTCATGTGAATCCGTCCAAAATGCACCGTACCCAGCTCTTTGAGCAATGGCTTGACCAGATCGTGTTCGCCCTACGAATAAACAAGTCACATATATATATATTTGGTATCAAGGTATATCATATATATATATATATTCGTATTCATAGTTTATACCATGCTCACGCCTCCACTTGTGATCAGCACGTCAATTGAAGGCAACTTGGCCAAGACGAGGTCCCGCAAGGCATCCCACTTATCGCTGCAAATGCCTAAGGTATACACCTCATGCCACCACGTTGTCGCATATATATCACCACCAATACTATCATCGACCAACCACACAACAAAATCATGCAACGCCCTTTGAATGTACCTAGATCTACCGTTTGAAAGCGGAGCTGCTGCATGTAAGCCAGCAGCATGGGTCGATTGCTGTCGCGGATCTTCCCGCACCGGATACCCGCAGCGTCGGTGGCATCGACCAGCTCACTGCCCGTCGAAAGCACGCCAACGACTGGTGTTTTGTAGATGGACACAGTCGCGATGCCGACCTACAAAAGAAGCTGTCGTGAAATGCGCTTCTTCAGATGGAAGGATAGATGGAGGAGGACGCCACGGAGTGAACAAGCAGCAGCCTACAGTTGCAAGCAGTCCGAGCACAGCCGGCGTCACAACTTCGCCAGCTTCCACGACCACTTGGTCCTGGGCAATGTCAAAGCCGATGGGCCGAATGCTCGTGCCACTTTGGACGGCGTGGAGGATCTTGATCGCTAGTTCGGTCTTGCCGTCCTGCGAACAGGCCATGGCATAATGAGACAGCTTGCGTTTCGATGGATGGCGCTGAATGTACGTACGTCGCCTAGGATGGCCTCCGTGTCCTCGATCTTGACGACGGCGTCAGCGCCGTCCGGCACGGGACACCCAGTCGTGACGTATGCCACGTGGCCCGGCGTGACCTGGACACCTGGTGCATCCCCCGCGGCAACGCGACTCAAGATGGGGAACTACGAAGAAGTCAGAGAGAACGTATGGGGATGGAGTGGTGCATCGACCTCGCCGACGCCGTCACTTGCCACGACTGCATAACCATCCATAACGGACGCGCGAAAGGGCGGCAATGGTTCCTGCGTATGAATAGATACATAAAAGGAATGCTACAATGTGACGTTTACTTTGCTCTTGATCGTCTCGGCGAGGACACACCCGAGCGCCTGCGCGGTACACGCTAGTAAGTGTGGGTATGAAGAGTGATGCGAAGGGCTCGTACCTCGTGCAGCGGAACAGACGTCTTGAGGAGAGGCTGGGCAAGGCGAATGACGGTGTCGATGGCCTCTTTCATCGGGATCATGTCATACGGACTGTTGCGCAGACCCCCCACACCATCGGAGCAGTTGCAACTCATGACGAATTGTCACCTCCCCCGACAATATTCTTCTACTATTAGTAGTTAATTACGGGTATAATTAAATTTAAAATAAAATAAATACTGTACAGTAGTTGAGGTTGCTACTAGTAGCACTATTAATAGTAGTAATGCTAGAAACGGTACTATTAATATTATTAATAATACGTAGTATTAGTCTTTTACTTCTAATACTTCGAAGACTCACCCAAAGCTGCTTAAAATATGTACGGTTTAGGCATATGTTTTGGTCACTTCTTTTTCTAGTGATTCGATTGGCTGTACCCAAAATCAAGTAATTCCATTGGCGGATTCGAGCTCCGAATCAGAGTGCGACAATTGAGATCTGTGAAGTTAAGTGCAAACAGCCAATCCAACTCATGGAGTGTTTCAATTGACTGCATGTCAGCCAATCACAAGCCACCCTTGTCGTCGTGTGAATGTGCGCATTCCCACACTCAAAGCAACTGCATCACATGACAGAGTCTACCCCTGTGTTTCAGACCCATGCTACTGCCGACGTGAAATCACGCAAGTGGCTCGTGGCAGGTTCTGCTCTCGCGTCCACACTGGTTGTGTTGGGTGTTAGCCAAATCACCGCATCATCGTCAAAGCAAGTCAATCTAGTGAACCTTCGCGCGGAGTCGGCTCCGCTTGGCTCGCTCAGTGGCTTGACGGCGGAAGAGTCGGCCATCGCCACAGCCCTCAACCCCCAGACCCAAAGGTGTGTACCCCTTTATCCTGTTATATACACCGAGACGGGAGTATTTTGTATTCATCATGCGCACCGGACAATGTAGTGCTCGAACGGCGCGTTGGTTAGTGCATAAGAACACGTGGGCCACCATAGCCACAACCTCGATCCATTTGAATGGCGCTCCGTATGCTGGACTCGCGTCCTACAGCGGTACACATTTCCTATTAAATTGGCGAATTCATAAGCAATTGTTATTACGTAGATGGAGTGGGGACCTCGGCTAAAAATGCCACGGGAAAGCTCTACTTCTACTTGACTCCCATGGATTCCACAGGTACGACAACGGCGTTGGCATATAATATAAGCAGCCATTCGTGATAAAACGGCAGGCCAAGATGTAACCAAAAGCCCAAGTGTATCGGTGGGTATTAGCATGGCACAGCTTGGTCAATGCAAGATGGATCCACAGGTACATACATTCATTGTATGAGTCGATATACAATGTGCAACAAGCGTATTCGTTTTTGCACGTGTGAAATCAACTTAGTTGACGGATATTGAATAGGACCCAACGTGCTGGAAAGCAACGTTCTCGGGCAAGTTGCTGCCAGTGGAAGGGGACGATGTCAAGGCAGCGCTGGAAGTTCTCTATTCCAAGTAAACGTTTAGGCCTTCTTGATGAACGTTGTGGAGTTAACTGCAGTATTGTTGCTATATTACGGTAGGCATCCCCAAATGTCGTGGTGGCCCGCTGACCATGGATTTCGACCGTAAGTTAATTTTCGGATTGATAACTTGGGACTCACGTGAGAGCTGTTGATAGTTACGAGCTCCACCCCACTGAAATTTTGCTCTTGGATTTCTACGGTGGTGCCAAGTCTATCGCGGCCGAAGATTATTATGCTGTGGAATTCTAAATGCGCGAATTTTATAGTTATGGCGTGTCGTTGCGATTCTGCTAGGACATTCCATCGGCCATACTGTCTTACGGTACTAGGTAATGGACTGCAATCGCAGTATATTAGAGTAAACTCGTTGCAGCTCCACTCGTCAGGCTTAACTGTAAATGTCTGATTTATACGGATAGCCTTTGGCAGTTTTGGACTTATAATCCAACCTTTTCGACATCGCAATTTACACGTTTCAAATCATAGTCATTCAGGGATTGGGTAGTTTTTTTGTCCAATCAAAATATCGGTGGACGGGGCATACAAACATCAAGTCAACGATAATTCGCTTAACAAAGTGCATTTTTTGATGTGATGCTCATGGCCACTCGATTTCTTTTACTGCCGGTAAAAAAATACACGGCAATTTCAGCTTGCGTCCCGTGCTTTTTTTGGTGGTGCTCGGCTGGCTATGGGACGTGAGAATGGCCAAATTCAGAGGTTACGAAATAAAAATACACGACCAATGTATGGCACTGGTCACGTGAATAAAAATATACAATAAAACACGCGCCGCTGGGACTATTTTTGTTGGTCTCCTTTCACTCACTCCCCAGAAACCCAGACCACAAGGATGAGCGCGCCGCAAGGACAGACGAAGGAGGAGGAGCAAGTGGAGCTCTTCAAGATGAAGAAGCTCATCAAGAGCCTTCAGAATGCCCGAGGGTACGTCTATTAGATCCATAGAGTTCATGACATGATGGTCGCTTGGTGTCATGTAGGAACGGGACTAGCATGATCTCGCTCGTGATCCCGCCAAAGGACCAAATTTCCCGCGTCGCCAAGATGTTGTCGGACGAATACGGCACGGCGTCGAACATCAAGTCCCGCGTGAACCGTTTGTCGGTGCTTGGCGCCATCACGTCGACCCAGCAACGCCTCAAGTTGTACACCAAGTGTCCTCCGAACGGACTCGTCATGTATTGCGGCACGTGCATGACCGAAGACGGCAAGGAAAAGCGTCTCAACTTTGACTTTGAGCCGTTCAAGCCGATCAACACGTCGTTGTACATGTGCGACAACAAATTTCACACGGAAGCATTGGGCGAGCTGTTGCAAGACAACGACCGGTTCGGGTTTATCATCATGGACGGTAACGGCGCGTTGTACGGCACGGTGGCCGGGAACTCGCGCGAGATCCTGCACAAGTTCAGCGTGGACTTGCCCAAGAAGCACGGGCGTGGTGGTCAGTCCGCCATGCGTTTCGGGCGCATTCGGTTGGAGAAGCGACAGCACTACGTGCGCAAGGTAGCGGAGACCGCGACGCTGATGTTTATCACCAACGACCGCCCGAACGTGACCAACATCGTGCTGGCGGGGTCGGCCGATTTCAAGAACGAGCTGAACCAGAGCGACATTTTCGACAAGCGGCTGCAAGAGATCGTGGTCAAGATCGTGGACGTGTCGTACGGGGGCGAGAACGGGTTCAACCAGGCGATCGAACTGGCGGCAGACACGCTGTCCAACGTCAAGTTTGTGCAGGAGAAGAAGCTCATCTGCAAGTACATGGAGGAGATTGCGATGGACTCGGGCAAGTACTGCTTTGGGGTGACGGACACGTGGAAAGCGCTCGAGCTGGGCGCGGTGGAGACGCTCATCTTGTGGGAGGACCTGCCGCACCACCGCATCACGATGCGCAACAACCAGACCGGCGTCGAAGTGCACAAGGTGCTCAGTCCGCCAGAGGAGAAGGTCGCCGCCAACTTTGTGGACGCCGAGACGGGCGAGACGCTCGAGGTGCTGGAGAAGGAGCCGCTCGTCGAGTGGTTTGCGAACAACTACAAGCAGTTTGGGACCACGCTTGAGTTTGTCACGGCGCGGTCCCAGGAAGGGTCGCAGTTCTGCCAAGGATTCGGCGGCATCGGCGGCATCCTGCGATGGCAGGTGGACTTTATGGAGCTCGAGTACAATGGCGAAAGCGACGACGACTTTGACGATGACGACTTTATCTAAGCAACCGCCTGTTTGTCTCGACGATCGATTTGGACGGCGGCGCGTCCATGATGGATGGGTCGAGATAATATAAAGAGGTTTATGGAACGAAATTGTGAATGAATGATGCTCTTGGGTATAGGAAATCCTAGTAGTACTAGCACAATCCACGCTTTCGAACAGGTTCCACTATGTAGTAGTACTAATAGTAGCCCTACCGTGGTACTATTAATAGTAACTTTAATAACTAATAGTAGTAGTAGTGTACTACACTCTGTACCACTCTCCAGTACACTACTATTAATAGTACACTACTAGTAGTAATACTAGTAACTGTATACCGAGTCTTTGGAGTACAGTATGGTGGTAAGTACTAATAGTAGTACTATGGTGGTATGTTGGTCGCATATCGGATACAGCACAGGCGACTTTCCCGACGACAATTGGATCGGCCATGTCAAATGTGACAGTGGGTACGTCCGATGATCATGACGAACGACATCCTCACTCACATGATGTAGCACCCCCCGTGTTCCACTTGGAATTCCATTACAAGGAAATTGACACGATGCTGGCCGTCGGGTATGCGGTCGCGACATTCATGGGCCTGTGGGCGCTGTGTGCCCACCTCAACAACGTTGCGTCGCGAGACGTCGCGACGACGGGATTCTACCTGCTCATGAGCCTTGCCTCCCTTGTCCGCGGTGCATGGTTCTCCACTCCGTTCAGTATCCACGTTTCGGGGTATGTCCCCCAGCGGCTGCATATCTTTGACGACGGCTGGACGATGCTGTTCCTGTCCGAGGTGGCAGAGATGTTCGGCACCTTTTTTCTCTACTCGATATTCATCCTCATGGTCGTGTTCTGGGCCGACATCCTTCGACGGTACGATTGACCCTCCCTCCATCAACCAACCCACCTATTCCATTCTCACCGCATCAACTGTCCAGAGCGTTTGAGCCCCATGCGTACGCAGAGTCACATCCGATGCGCGTGTTCCTGTCGCTCTTGGTATTTCTCTTCCTCTACGTGTCCACAGGCTTTGCGCTGTTCGCCCTCGACCGCATCGATTCGCTCCTCTTGCTCATGTACAACGACATCGCCGTCGCCCTGCTGTCCACTGTGTGCGCCATATTTGTCGGCATCTACTGCTGCCGCATGCGCACGGTCCTCATTGCGTTCTTCGAAGTGAGTCAGATCGAAACCACAGGGCGTATCCAAACAGTCACGCGCACCGGTATCCTCTGCGCCACATTTCTCATGGCGAATGCTTGCTTTGCCACGGCCATGGGGTACCACATGTATCAGCTCTTGACCGTCGGGTCGCCCCCGCTTCGTGCGTCCAACGACTCCATGTCGTGGTGGCTGCTCCTCATGACCAAGCACTTGGTCGAGATCTTCGTCCTGTACGCGCTCCTCTTCCTCCTCTGCGGCGCCACGGCAGGCGACAATGACTCCAAGTCGTCCCAAAGTGACATCCGCCGCCAATACGACACCATTCCGGACGGACCCCAGTTGTCCCCGTTGTCCGATGCCTCCATCATGGCCACCAGACGCCCGTCCTCGCAACGCCAGTTTCGCCTAGAGCAGCCTCCGTCGAATCCCCCGTCGTCGTCCCGTCACCATCCTTAGTATGATGAGTATGAGTCGCGCATTCATTTTAGCGTCCCACGATGAAATCTTCAAACCTCTGTCAAGCAAGCTAACGTAGAAAACCAATTTAAGGTCACTTTTTCCGAGACGCTGAACGAAGCTCAGCATGGATGCATCAGATTGTCAAATTCCGAAAAGTGCTGGATGAGGCCAAAGCGGAGTAGATTCGTTGGACATTCAAATAATCGTGTTTTAACGTCTAATTTGACACGCATAAATAGAATTTTCGAAGCAAATGTACTCCAAACGTGAGAACCAGTGAATGATGCATACTTTTATCTTAATGTTTGTATACCCATTTGCATATTTTTTGTGTAGTTAGGTTATGTAATTTCAGAAGTTTATGTTTTGTTTCTCAAAACTGTATAATTACAGTTTTTCGAAAGAGCTCTATTAATATACAGTTTTGAGAAACAAAACAAGTCACGTGCCAAAATTCAATTCGTGTATTAGATTAAGGCAGTATTTTGACTACATTTGATTGGCTGATTCAAGTGCACCATTAACAGTAAATGGCCTTAAATTGGTAGCTGTAAAGTCCAACTGCTGGGGGTGAAACGCATTTTTGCATATTTTTTGGCGGTTAGCTAACTCGTGTGCGCTGAAATAAGTAGGACTTTGACGTTGCAGTACTACTATGTACTGTAGTACTACTACGTAGTACTTAGTAACGTACTACGTACTAGTAGTAACTAGTAGTAACTACTCATCGTACTACTGTACTAATTGTCTTATCAATATTGACAGTGAATATTGTACGAGGACTACAATACATAGTACTACCGATAGTTGGTGTTATTGTTAAGGAGTCGCGTCCGTCAAGTCTTCGTTCAGGTTGACACCTAGCACCTTGGCAACTTGGATCATGTCCTTGTCGCCGCGCCCGCTGACGTTGATCACGAGCACTTTGCCTGGTCCGAGTTGCTTGGCCAACTTGACGCCGTAGTGGATCGCATGCGACGACTCGAGCGCGGGAATGATGCCTTCGATGCGGCATAGCAGCTTAAACCCGTCCAGCGCCTGCGCGTCCGTCACGCTCACGTACGTGGCGCGCCCAGAGTCCTTCAAGAACGCATGTTCGGGCCCGACGCCGGCGTAATCCAAGCCCGCCGACACGCTGTGCGTTTCAATCACCTGGCCGGCCGCGTCCTGCATCACGTATGTCTTGGTGCCATGGAGGACGCCGATGCGGCCGCCCACGAGGGTCGACGAGTGGCGACCCGTTTCGACGCCGTCGCCGCCGGCTTCGACGCCGTAAATGTCCACCGCATTGTCCTGGATGAACGGATGGAACATGCCGATGGCGTTGCTGCCGCCGCCCACGCATGCGACAATGGCATCCGGGAGACGGCCAATCTCTTCTTCCAGCTACGAAATGGACGAAAAATGCAAGCAGTTTTAGCATCACGAGAAGATGGAGGGGACCATATGGCCGTGTATATACTGTACAGTACCTGCGCCTTGATCTCCTTGCCAATGATCGCTTGAAAGTCGCGCACGATCGTGGGAAACGGATGCGGTCCGATCGCAGACCCAATGATGTAATGCGTGGTCTCGACGTTTGTCACCCAGTCACGAAGGGCTTCGTTCACCGCGTCCTTGAGCGTTTGTGACCCCGACTTCACGGCAACGACCTTTGCACCGAGCATCTTCATGCGGAAGACGTTGAGGGATTGACGCTACACATACGAGGGTTAGCACGGACAACAACATGACGACATAGGTTTCAAGCACGTATGGTACCTGCGTGTCTTCGTAGCCCATGTACACGGTGCAATCCATACCCATCAAGGCACATGCAGTAGCAGTTGCCACGCCGTGCTGCCCCGCGCCTGTTTCAGCGATGATGCGATTTTTCCCGAGACGCTTGGCAAGCACTGCTTGGCCCAACGCGTTGTTAATTTTGTGGGCGCCAGTGTGTGCAAGGTCTTCCCGCTTGAGGTAGATGTCGGCGCCGCCAGCATGCTCGGTCAAGCGGCGTGCAAAGTAGAGCGGGGTCGGGCGGCCAATGTAGTCTCGGCCTAACTGCTCCAATTCCAACCGGAAGGACGGGTCTTGCGTGGCTTTGACGTACTCGTCGATGAGTTGATGGTGGGCTTCGATCAACGTTTCAGCCACAAAGCACCCGCCAAACTTGCCAAAGTACGCCGGCAGTTCGTCCTTGCTTTGATAGACAGGGGGCGCGTTGGATACCTTCAGGTACGGCGCTTGTGTGGACGACGAATCGGCGCTACTGCTCATGGTGGGTTGAGTCGATTGAATTTCAAAAATGACGACTTTTTTGCGAGGGCCTGGTTATCCGGAATTTCGGATAAAACAACTTTAGTTCAATATGGCGATTTCAGGGAAGAATCTTATGGGGCGATTTCTTCACAGTCGAACGTCCATGGCTTCAGTCTTGTTGTGGGTCGAGACTGACCAGCGTTTTGATGGGATGACGAGGATTAACAGCATGGGACCTCTGTGCAAGCACACTAAGATGGCTCGGACCTGCCTAGCACACAGATGTACAGAGGGCACGAGGGCTGAAGACGTGGTTTCTGAAACTACTTGCTTTTTCGAGGATTATTGGCTGCCACATGAGTGCAACTTACTACTATTAATAATATTTCACTTTTTCGTACGGGACAAATAAATAACTTCTTCCAGAGAAATATCATACTAACGTTACTACTTAGTATAAATATTAATAGTATTAATACAACATTACTCGAGTTATTCGATGTATTTTGAACCAATATGTGAGATGCAAATACAGTAAGCGACTTCTTCCGATAATGTTATCGTCAGGAGGAAAAATAACTTCCGTGTACATCACAATATATATAATTTTAAAGAAAGATTGTTTATTCGGAACCCCTGTGCAAGAAGGTAAGGTAATGTTATGCTGAATAAGATTAGTGTAAAGCCACTGACTGGTACGGTCATGGTGGCCCTTTACAGATGCAAGGACGACCCTGGGTCGTCCTCCACGTGAGGCTCGGTGTCGCTGATTGTGTCGTTGGTTGTGGTGAGGTGGACGGGTGTGCAAGGCTTCCCTACAACACCTCGACATCAAGCTTGTCCGAGAGCGTCCCATTCTATTTGGGAATTGCAGGAACGACCGAAGGGGGTTCCACGGTGTCAGTTGTGGGGGCTGGTGTGACAGTTGTGGGGGCTGGTGTGATAGTTGTGGGTTGAACTGTAGTGGTGATCGGCTCCGGAGTGTCAGTTGTGGGGGCTGGTGTGACATTTGTGGGTGTTGGGGCGACGGCAGGAGTGGGCTCCGACGTATGCGAAGTGGTGACGTTGGTCGTAGTGTTCGGCTGAGCAGAGATCTTGGCGAATGTGGATGTCTCGTGAAGGTCGGCAGTGGGGGTAGCATTTCCAGTAGAATTTATGACTTTCATTGAGTCATATCCCTTCGGAACTGTCGGAGCTGGGATGGGGAGTTCCAAGTTGGTCGTTGTGGTTGCAGGTGATGCAGTGGTCGTAGGGGTAGAAGTTGTCGTCGAGGGAGAAGATGTGGTCACTGGTAGTGTGGCCTTGGTGATGACGTCGGGGGTTACGGAAGGCGATGCTTGAGTGGGTTGGTCGGTTGTGAATGTTCCGTTCGGGTGCGGCGCGAGGCTGAGTGCATCGCTAGAGTTCAAGGATACAGCCGCGGTTGCATTGGTTTCATTTGACAACGACGCCGAACCGACGGATTGCTTGTTGAGCAGCTGTAGAATGTCGTCTTTGAAGAAAAACACACCAAACGTGACTGCCCCAGCAAACAAGAGCACGCCGACGACGGCAAATGCGCGGGATACGAAGCGGCTTCCCGAGTATTTTACTCTCTTGTCTTCCTTGGAGGGATCGTTCTTGCCGTCACCAATGAGATCTGCGTCGCTCTTGCTCGAACTCTTGGTGGAATCCAACGCGACATCGTCGACCCTTGACTCCAAGTCGGCATCGATGTCAGCGGTGTTCTTGTCCTTGTCGTCCAACAGCCCCTCGTTCTCCAGTGGATTCTTTCGTAGCGCCACGGGGGTCATGGCTGGACCAGTGCTAAATGCCGCTGGTGTGTCGAGAACCTGAGGTCGCATCATGGTGTGTGGGGTGATTGATTCTTGTGTGCAGGTGAGTTCAGCATGGGTGCTGGACAATCTCATGCAGGTCGTAGGAAACTCTACTTTACGCGTGTAAATCCCACTCGATAATATTTAAATAGTTATTGAAAAGATTGGAGCAAAACCTATGGCAATAAGTAAACAATATTGTACTTCGAAGTACTACGTACTAACTATTTACCTAAAAACACTGGAATGAGTTAAACGAATTGGGACTTTCGTGTATTTCCCACTTGGATGTACCCAAACTACGGACAGGCCACACCCATCAAAAAATAGGGGGGCACCCAAGAAAAGCCAACCACAGATGAGGGGGGGGGGTACTTGAAAACGGCTTCAATCGAAATATATAAATGCACCAATCACATGCGACCAATCGAATGGTGATGTTGGTAGCGTCAATTCATATTCGCACTCGTAGCATCATGTCGACGATTTTGAACTCGATCGTGGCAGCGCACGCAAAGACCCCTGGCAATCAATGGGAGTACTTTGAGTTCAGCGTGAAGCTAACTATGGCTCGATGGACTGCCTTGCGTATGGCCATGGAAGGCGAATGGGGTGGAGGAGACATGCGTCGCAAATTCGAGATTTTGCTAGACGACGTGTTGAACTGGTTCAAGTACCAAAAGTCCGTCGAGTACGACGACTTGGCCGCAGGCATTGAAGAGTACATTGAAAGCGAGTTTGCGCTTGTGTGCGAAGACGACAGCGTGGATGAAGTCGCCAAGTTGTTGCTCACGTTGGCTGCTGAATGCAAGCAAGGCGACTTTTCGCGCGTCCGAGCGCTGGAGGAACAGTTCCAAACGTCGACGTTTGCAATCGATCTGAAGAAGGCCAAGCTTCGGGAAGAACAGGCATTGCTTCGACGAGCGGAGCAACAAGACGAGAACCAAGACATGGACACTGCGGACGAACCCCTCGTGGACGACGATGGCTTCCAAACCGTGCGCCGGTCGACGCGCAAGAAGACCCAGCCCAAGTTCTTTGACCCACAAGTGGAGTTTCCCGGTGCCAACTAAGCATTGTGTACTGTTAATTTACCTTATTGCCCCATCACTTTGGACGCGGTGTTCCAATGCTATGAAGGTCCTTCCTGTTGGGTAATTTAACCTAAAGCGTACATTGTGTACTTGTATTACAATGCGTATGTACGTTACAAGCATAATTAGATACTTATGTAGATTTACGTACATTGTGGAACGTACGTACAGTACGAATGTACGGATATCTGCCTTCCATTTGGCTGGTGGAAACGCCTTGCCTCCATCCAAGTACAAGTGTACACGTTGACTTCCGCATCATCATGTCGCTCCTTCGCGCGTTCCAAGCCTTGCGCGTAAGTGCTCCATCCACGGGGGTCATCGCCCGTCATTTCTCTGCGGCCGCTGCGACGCTTCCTGCCAACCTTCACTTGGCCCCAGAGAAGCCCGTGCGAGAACTTCGCGTGGTCACGCGCGAACCCGTTGTGTTCGACAGCAATGGCAACATCCAAGCCAAGGTGTTGTCCTTCACGGATGGCTCGGTCATTGACACGTTGACCCTCAGTCGCAAGTAAGCACGGCGCCACGTATGATCAACTCGTTTGACATGGTTCTCGTGTAGTGTGTTCGGGTCCCCCGTGCGCAAGGACATCTTGCATCGTGTGGTAAAGTGGCAGTTGGCTAACCGCCGTTCCGGCAACCACAAGACAAAGACTCGGTCGGAAGTCAGTGGGTCCACGAAGAAGGCGTGGAAGCAAAAGGGCAGCGGTCGTGCCCGTGTGGGCAACATCCGGTGCGTCCGCCGCTTTGACTTGCTTGGCGACGCATCAAACATGACCGACTCATATGTCTGTTCGTTTTAGTCCTCCGCAATGGCGAGGGGGGTACCGCGCTCATGGCCCCGTGGTCCGCGATCACTCGTACAGCCTGCCTAAGAAAGGTAAGTTTAGCGAAAGCAAATGTATATGGATGGGGTCGACTGTAACCTTTTGTGTTTGTAGTGCGTGCGATGGGTTTGCGTGTGGCATTGTCCACGAAGTTGGCGGAAGGCAAGCTCGCGATCGTTCGCGACTTGAACGCCGAGGTATATATGTATACATATCACGATTGTTGTTCATGTTTGAGAGATGGAACAAGATGAGATGGACATATGTTTCGATGCGTAGACGGAAAAGACCAAGTCGATGAAGCAGTTGCTGGCCACCAAGGGCTGGGACCATGCGTTGTTTGTGGACGGCGAAGAAGCCGTGCGCAACTTTGTGCTGGCCACGCGCAACCTCCCCACGGTGGACATCATCCGCCAGCAAAACATCAACGTGTACGCGATCTTGCACAAGGACGTGCTCGTGTTGTCCGAGAAGACCGTCAAGTACTTGGAAGAACGCTTGGCCGTGGAATAGATTTAGATAATACCACGACCCTCAAACAAATCCTACTGTGCGCTAGCGTTATGTCCCCTGGAAGTTGCAGCGCAGACGCAATATGCAAAGTAGCTGGCTGGCTTGCCTGGTGGTTGGTGCTGGTAGTTCATGCTACTATAAAGTCAGCAACACTCCACGAAGGGATGGCTTCGTCATATGGATTTGTGATGGACAGACTTTCCTACTTCCTCCGTTCCGCAAAACACGATATCTCAGGCCAATAATCCCAAAATCGAACTAAATTTCGACCACAGATAGCCAATCAAAAGACGATTCTGAAGCTATTTTCAGATTTTTTTTATTGTTTCTTGTCGCTTCGCAAGCACCTGGCAGGACCCAGTGCTCAAGTCAGGAAATTTTCTAACATACGCCACACAGTCATTTTTCATTCAATCGTGCTCAAATCAAGCGCAAACGACTCGCGGCGCTGCGTAGATATTGCTAGAGCCCATCAGAATTGGAATCCCACAACTGGGCGCGGCATACTTAAGAAATTCAGCCACGACCAAGTTGGTATTTGGTGAGGGGAAGTCATACCATCCTCGTGTTGTACCGATTGATGCATAGTTAGCAGGTGCTGCAATACGAGAGTGTGGTTAGATACTCTAGACGCCTTGGTAGATGATGCCGCGAGAGTACTAGTGCACGTAATGCGTCCCTAGACCGCAGCGCCTGCTCGGCCAGGGCCTTGAGTCAGCAGGGCATGCTGAGGCCTGCTGCTTGCTTAACCTGCTTAGGAGGGCATGCAAGTCGTTGACATCAGCCGCTTGCACGACTTGCTGGTTCAAATCCCTGGCCGAGCAGGCCCTAAGGCCCTACGGTCTAGGGATGCATCGGTTGCTCCACCAGCCCGATCGCTGTCATGTCCGTCATGGATGCCTTCATTACATTTTACGTTTGTATGTGGACTGGTGGCCAAGTCAGCACATGATGAACCTTCTCGTCGTAAAATCAAGTTTGTGAATAAAAATACACTTTTTGACGGTAGAGCCCATACAAACATTAAGATAAAAATGCAGGGAAAACCAATGTCTCCAGTTTTACGGAATAGAGGAAGTAGCATGGTAGTTCTGCAGTGTGGGTGAGTTGGTGCTGCTCCTACTGTAGTCACAAAAAAAACCGGATGTATCCGGATAATTTGAGATTGACGATTTGAATTTCAACCAATCTACAACAGACATCATCAGGATGATGCCGAAGCGAGGAGCACCGACAAAGTCGAGGCAGCCGCCGCGGCCGTCCGCCGCCAAGGCTTCGTCCCATCAAAAGTACCGACCGCAATGGAACGAGTACTTGACGGATTCATCAACGTACCAGTTGAACCAAGACCAAAAGCTTCAAAAACGGATCCAAATGCTCACCAAGATCCCGACCGAGGTTTCGGCGCCGAGGCAGCCCTTGGCTCCGCCCACGAAAGCGAAGCTCCACAACAACGTCCAAATGCCGTCACGCAAGCCAGCCGTTCCCCGCGCGAACGTTGCCCCTCTTCCACTAGCCTCCCAGGACAAGAGGAGCCTTCCGCGTGTGAATTTTGACGACGAACTGCGAGCGTTTGCGAGGGAGTCTACTAGTTCTGTCGCTGCGGCCGAGACACAAAAGCAACACCTTCAGAAAGAACTCGACCGCATGGACGTCATGCTGGCGTCGTTGGAATTACAAGCGGATGAAATCAGCGGGGTCATGGAACCCCGAAGTCTTGAGGCTCCCACAAGCAGCCCCGACAGCAACCCCGACAACAATTCCACCGTCGACATGACCGACACCACCTTCCACCATCACGAGGACAACGATCAAGATGATAGTGTACTTGCCACGCCGTCCCCCACCGTCGCACCGACATCTCCCATTGACCACGATGTGGTGGACCTTCTGCACCAGGTATGTACACGCCCGTTGGCACCTTGTTGTTGTAGGTATAATCATACTTTTCCGTACAGTTTTCCGTCCAACTCCACGAGGAGCGGCAAGCGCGGGAAAGCCAAGACGCGATCATTCGTCAACTCCAACATGTACGTCGCCATGGCCAGTTCTGTATCGAGATTAACCAGGTGGCGCGATAGACGTTGCAGGACGTGATGCAGTCGCATGCGCATCTTCGAGATGACTTTAACCGGGCGGTCAAGCACATTGTAAAGCTCAAAGCCGTCGTAGTGAACCTCCGCCACACTGTCCACGATGTTGAAGACATGATGGCGGCCGCTTCCGTGCCTTCTCCTGGTTCGTTGGAACACTACCATCATCATCCAGACATGGCAAGGGACGTGACCGTTGTGGATAACCCGACGACGCATGTACTATCTCCTCAACAGACGACGACAACTCCTCCATCACACAAGCTGGCTTGTGCAGTCCATGAGGCCGACGGAAAGCGCGGGCAGCCAAACAGCTCGGCGTTAGCCCCCAACAACAACCAAGACACAAACGACTTTCCACCTGGAGTTATTGTTCCTTCCACTGAAGTCGGTGGTGGCAGGGCAGCCGAGTCGACGACGTCCACTGCACATACACGGCATGTTGGGTTTCATTCTCGAGCCAAATGGACCAGCGGCCAACATGCAGCAGACGCAGTCTTCATTGACGACGTACGTACGGGGTCCTAGGAATTGCATGCGGCTGCAATGTACTTATGATCTCGTTGTTGCCCTTCCAGGAGCAGCCGCAAGAGCAAAGGCCGATGATGCCCTCACGACACACGGACGACGTGCGGCGACGAGAGTCCGTGTCGATACGACATGCCATGCGCACGTAGTAGTAGTACTACGTACTTAAGTAGTAGTACTATTATAGTATTAATAGTAATTGATAAGGACAGTCTGTACAGTATGTGTATGATGAATGTGCTTCAAATTTCCCAATTTTGCTCGATTTGTTAAACCGTTCACAAATCTCAACACATTTCATTAGCTTTCCCGATTCGCACAAAGTAAACATAATGTATCCAATCAGAGACAAGAATTTTCAGATTGACCAATAGGAGCTATTCGTGATGGTAAATTCGTTCCAAATGGACATAACACACATATTTATTCTTGCATTTACTCTCATTGATTGAAGCTCTTAAATTGTTTGTTTAGGTTAGAATTGCTTTGTTTTTTTCGTTTTAACGTTACATGATCATTCATACATCTACAATTGCTATGACCTAGATCTAAATGTCATGGGAGTCTATTCGTCCTTGGACTTGAGGCCCTTCTTCACCAGCAGGTCCTTGACAAACTACCCAAGCATCATATTAGATGAGTTCTCGAGTACATCATGCACAATGAAAAGACGTACCGCCACGGACGGCAGTTGGTTCGTTTGATGCTTGGAGTGGATGAGCACATCTACAAACAGACAAGACATCCCGTGAGCACGTGCATCACATGCCGATGATGGTCGGATCATACCGTTGAGATAGACTTCAAACTTGCCACTTCGCCCAGCGTATTGCATCAAAGGGGTGATAAACACGATCGGGATGAGGATGATCATTTGGTAGTCCTTGATGAATTGCGACACGTAGAAATCGAGCTTGTAGTCGAAGTTGTTCAGGAGGAACGTTTCGCCATGGAACACGGTAAGCGCGAGGAGACCTTGCACGATAAAGATGAGGAACGCGAGAAGCATGCCTTTCAGCGTTGGGGCCGCCCTCTGGCCAAAGCATCGGAGGTTTGGGAATCCCTTGACCAGGTTCGCCGCCATGTGACTGTAGTGGTTCGCATACGTTTCGGTATCGTACTCAATGCGCACGGACGCACCGCTCTCAGCCTTCTTGATCGCGGGGGCCGCGGTGGCAGAGGACGACGTCGACTTGGATTTTTTCTTGGTGGACATGGCTGTGACGTGCGACGGCAATTGAATTCTGATCGTTGACGTCTCACCAAGCGGCCATGGATACATATCCGGATATATATCCGGATAACCCCAGCCCAGACACAAAATAGACGTGGATTTTTCAAACAATCCGGATATTGTGGTATCCATATCCGGATTGCCACGTACCATGTCAACCAAGAAACGCCGCGGAGGCGACGCCCTCAAGAAGTCGACGAAGAATGACGACAAGATCCGAGTAGAGTACGACAAGGTGGTGTACACGACGGCGTACAAAGAGATTGCGGCGACCATCAAGCACGACTACCCTAGCATCGAATGCCGAGGCAAGGCTTACCCGTTGCGTGGGCACAAGCAGCAGTGGATTTATTTGCTCTACGTGATCCAATTCACGTTGGCCATCTTGGTCACGTTTGCCGAGGACTTGGTGAAGCGATACGAGATTCCTGTCGATGATCGATGGCTCGACTTGCTGCGAAAGAACCGGTACTACCTCATTCCAGGCATCATCATGTTGTCCCCGGTCCGTCAACTGCTGGCCAACTCCGGCGCGTTTGAAGTGTACTTGAATGGTACGTACTACATTCAAAATCGGCGTTTATGTCACGTGCTATCTCGCAGATTCGTTGATCTACTCGGCGTTGGACACACGACTACCCCTGACCGCGGAGGTGCGATGTGACTTGCAACATATCGGCGGTACATTCACCATTCTGTTGTTGAACGTTTGTAGAAGCTGTATTCGTTGCTCCAAGCCAACGGCATCCACCCCGCAAAGTAGAATACTATCCACGAAATGTTAACGATTACAAATCTCGACGGCTGTTGAGTTCCCTTCTTGCGGCGGCGCCGCACTGCAGTCCCAATTCAATGCATTTTCGCTTGATTTCAAAGGGACTGTGTCCTTGAAGTTGTCGTGCGAGGCTTTCGATGGAGTCACCTTGTTTCTGTCGCAGGAGACATTCTTCGCCGTACGTAAAGCCTGCTGCCACGACCGTCGTTGCCGCCAAGAACATCGCCGCCATCACCATCACCACGGCCTTTGTCCACGCCATCCCGTTGAGATTTGTTTCGAAAAATGGAAACGGTCACTTATGCTAATGTCACTATACGATTGTACTAGTGTTCGATATAAAATGGCAGTTACATTTGTGGGTACCGTATTTCGATTGGTTCTGTACTTAACCAGTGGGTACACGAATATCGGGATTATGTAAAAGCTAGGTACTGAACTCTCCTGAATACGGTCATTCTACCTTACGATTTTAGAACGAACATGCAAGGGTGGGAAATGTCTACTTATGGCATTATGCAGCGCTCAAGGCACGTCCTCGATACTGCAGAAGCTATCGGGATTAGTTGGCCTTGGTCGTCTTCTTGATGCCCTTCTTGTCCAGGACTTGCTTGAACGCCTACAACATCCACGTACATATCCTTGATTAGAACTCGAACTCCTCAAGCTGAGGAAATGATGGCATGTTACCTCGTAGTTCGGCATGAAGCGAGAGGTCAACGTGGACGAGACCAACTCATCTACAAGAACGAACGAACGATTGCCATGTGAGATCACCACATCGTGAGACGGATATGTACCATTGAGGTAGACTTCGAACGCGCTCGTCTTGGAGACCAATTGCCGCACAGGGGACAACACGAGCATGAACGGCACGATCATGAACTTGTGGTCTTCAAAGTACTTCATGTTGTCGGGGTGCACTTCAATTTGAAAGTGTTTCACTGCCATGCTGCCAAAGATGAAGATGAGCGTCATGAGGATTTGAATCACGAAGATGGCCGTGGAGAGACGGTAGCTGAGCGGCGACATGGCGTATTCTTCCGCCGTGACCGTGAATTGTGGGTACTGCTCGGACAATCCTTGTTGGTACAGCTTCAAGTGCGGCCCGAACGCAGTTTTATCGTACTGGATGTGGATCCGGTCGTCTGACTTCTTGTCGGCGGCAGTGGAAGCAGCTTTCGACGCCATGATGTGATGGGGATGTATTTGCTTTGTGGCCGATGACGTCGGAGTCATGTTCGGATAAAAATAGTGTTTATGCGGACGATATGTCATTGTCCCACTCACATTTTTTTATTTTCAAAAACATGCTGAAATCGCAGAGTTTGTGAAGGTAGGAACTTGTGGGAGCAGTATGAACATACGAAAACATGTCCTGGCAAACTAGCAAACGTTACTGCACTGGTAGAAGACGACTTTCCTTATTAGCGTTGTAAGTAAACTCTTCAATGTATTGGGGTTTCTACAGTACAGAATTTAAGATGTCAATTATGGCGTACAAGGAATAGATAATTCGTTTATCGTCGTTATTTAGCATTAATTAAGTGTTTGCCCCAAAATAGGGCAAACCATCCTATTGGCTGAATTGCAAAGGTCGCGATCTTGGCGCATGCACGAAATATGCCAACACCCGCCAAGGCGAAGCGGGCGAAGGCAGCGAAGGGTGTAAACCCCAAGACATTGGCATCGTGGAAGGAGCGCTTGGTTCAGCTGCATCAAGCCCGGAAGGACTACCTGTTCCATCTTCGTGAGACAGATTTGACCATTGGAGCACCGGTGACGTTGGTCGAAAAGGTAGTCAGTCTGACATGTTCCGTCGTCGATGGCACATTTCAAACGAGTCCCCTCTTGCAGGTTTGCCGTGTGGTGGAGTTAGCTGGCGGGTCTATCGCACTGAAGGAGTCGCCCCCGCTGCACCTTTCGTACAAGGTACAGTACCCAAACCAAACACTTCCACGCCACACAAGGTTCTCAATTCGGATTGCAGGATTGTTTGCACAAGCATCCATGCACGGATTTAACCTTGGCAGGGCTCGAAGTGAATACATGGATGCCCACACTTGTAGCTCGTACAGTACCTCCAGGTAAACGTATCGTACACATTGAGTCTACTGGGTAACCATGTTGTCCACAGGCATCCCGATCAAACCTTCTGTATGCACGTCGTTGTTTCTACAGCGTATGTGACCCTTCCATCCTTGTACGCGCTATATCGTACACATACTCCATAGACTCCAACGTTAACGACGGTGGCATGGCACACATTGTCAAGCTCAAATTCGTCCAAGTCCTCGACATTTCAGGGTACTTCTGCTCCCTCAACTTTCTTGCGCGTACTACGTGTATTAGCTTATGTCGTCGTGGGTAGATGTGAAGTACTCACTGACGCATCGCTGCACGTCATTCGCCGCACGTTGAGCCAGCTCTCCGAGTTACGAATCAACGACTGCCGCAACTTTGGCAGCGACGCGCTTGCTTCGACGTGGTCCGACTGTACCCGGCTTCGTCGCCTTTACGCCCAGAACTGTCCTGGAGTGACTGATCGTGTCCTCCATTGCGTTGCCACAACGAAGCGGGCGTCTGAGTACTCAACCCAAGTGCTCGACATCCGGCGATGCCGGAGCATCACCGACTCTGGCGTGGGCGATATTGCCACGTCCAAACAAGGTACGTACGTCCATCCTTCCTCATCAAAAACAGTAACACCCCCCCATGACTTCTTTGAAAAACGGATTGTCACGGGGGTAGAGATGGCGCTGCAATTCCTTGGCCTTGGTCACTGCCCGCACGTGAAAGCGATGGCGTTTTTCGCGTTTGGAACGTCTCGATCGCTTTCGTATGTCGACACGCTGGACATTGCGGGCTTAGACATTGACGAGACTGCCATAAGCTGGCTCACACAGGGCTGCCGCACGTCGCTTGTCAAGTTAAATGTGGCGCATTGCGGCAAACTCAACGACTTTTGTCTGGTTCTTCTTGGCCAATGTCGAAAACTGACATGGCTCAGCTTGAAGGGGTGCGCCCTTGTCTCGTCCATGGGTAATGCTAGCACCCCCTCCTCCTTCGCCTTTCAAATCAATGGGGATTTCAACCACACGATGGATCGTGGCAGGGCTACGAAACCTCTTGCAGCCTCCACCTACAACCGATGAAGGAGCGCCGTCGTCCAGCTGCCGCCATAGTCAACACAAGGAACCCGACGACGGCGACTCGTCCCTATTGACGTACCTGAACCTGAAGAACTGCGTCCGGATCGACGATGCGGGTATGGCTGTGCTGGGCCAAGCATGTTTGGACCTCGAGGGGCTCAACCTGCGGGGGGTGCCCCGCGTGACGGACATTGGCCTCACGACACTCGCAAAGCGCTGCACGGTCCTGCGCTCTCTAAAGCTTTCCGGTACGTCTTTTTGTGGTTGATCACCATCGTCGAGTGTATCTGCCTGTTCTTGGGTCGCCACCAACATCACAACAAGGATGAGTGAGTAGGCTGTCGCAACCCTGCGTTTTACGGTCGACCGGACATTGGGGATGACGGCTTGCGCGCGTTGAGCAAACTCTGCCGCCATCTGACTGTACTCGACTTGGCCGGCGCCCCGCGCGTGTCGTCCGTCGGAGTCGCCGCCATCGCCGCGACCTGTCCCAAGTTGGAAAAAGTCACACTGACCGACACGACGATTGACGACAATGCGGTGCTGGCGCTCGCGGCCCAGTGCCCTGCAATCCACACCCTTCACTTGACCAAAGTAACATTATGTGTTGCCATCGCTGCAACTTTTTCTTTCGTAACGCGTAGTCATGTATGAATCCCCTCATCGTGTGGCTGCCGGGACGGTTGTATTAGTGTCGCTTCATCACGGACGCCGCGGTCGAAGCTATTGCCAGTGGGCTGTTCAGTCTGCGAACACTATCGCTGGCGTTCAACTCGACCATCTCAAACAAGAGCTTGGTGGCCCTCGCAGCGACCAAGTCGCCCGTGGAAAGTTTGGATTTGAGTGGGGACGTCCTCATCGACGACGCCGGGATGATGGCGCTAGTGGCCGGATGCCACCGTCTCCGCCACGTTCTCGTCAAAGGTGCGAGCCACATGTCGTTCGTTGCTCGTCCTGATTTGCTATGGGTGCCCGCAGGCTGCGACCGCCTCACCGAAGGCTGCATCCGCGACTGCACGGCAAATCTCCCGTTTTGCCGCCCGCAACCGTGCCCAGAGTCGCAACAATTGGAGCCTCGATCACCCCCTTGGATTTCCATTTACGAGCACTTGGTACGGCAGTACACCGGTGCATGCAAGTTGCAAGCGTCCGTGCGCAAGTGGAAGCAACGGGATGCGTCCCTCCGAGTTATGGCGCGGCGGAAACTGCGACGGAGTCGGCGCGCCGCCATCAAAATCCAGCGATGTTATCGACGGCACCACCAAGTGAGGAAGAACTCCCATCAACCGATCATTTGGAAATCCATGGTGACTGTCTGGGGTGATGTAGTGGCAGGCGTTCCTGCACATGCTATCGCTGGGCCGCAACCTCGACGCCATCTTACATGTGCAAGCAGTGTACCGGGGCAACAAGTCTCGAGTCAAGTCGCGGGCATGGAAAGTACTGGCGACCTCCAGTGCCACCACAATCCAGCGCGGGGTTAAGCACCACCTGTACCGTCGACATGCCCACGCGCGCGACATCCAGCGACTCTACAGGGGGCATCGGGGCCGCCTCATCGGTCACGAAGTGGTGCGTATGAGGCGCCAAACTGCCGGCGACCAAATCGTGGCGTGGGTGCGCCGGTGTCTCGCCCGCTATGAGTTCCACCAGAGGTAACCCCCTCTCGTTCCCCCTTTGCATCCACTACGGGACGACGCCTCACGAATGTATCTTTGTATGGGGGTGGGTGGCATGCACGTAGAGCCAAAGCCATTTCGGCGCACGTGCGACGGATCCAACGCGTGTATCGTTCGTATGCCCGTCGCGGCCGCCTCCGCCGCCTTGTGGTCGCGTACATTGCGAGTGCTACACGTATCCAATCGGTGATGCGCATGGTGCTGGCCAAAGCCAAAGTCGCCAGGCGTCGGGTGCTGTACCATAGCCGCAGCCTGCGCATCCAAACGTTGTATCGAGGGTACAAGACCCGTCGGTGGTTCCGGCACTACAAGGCTCATGTCATCGGCGCCGCCGCCCAGATTCAAGCGTGGGTGCGCAGCAGGTGGTGCCGAATCAAGTACCTCTGGACCCGGAACTGCATTATTGTGGCGCAGCGCCGGTTTCGAACGTACATTTCAATTCGGGACATGCATATCCTAGCGCTCCAAGCGCTCCACTTGCGGCGATGGGGTACGTACGGTTCTGTCCTATGGTATTCATGTAACGCCAGTACTGGCACCGTGCCCCCCCTTACCCCCTATTACCCCCCGTTTTCCACTTTCTTCGTTCGTGTACATGCTTGACTTTATATATTCAGAGGCAAGTGAGATCATTCAACGCGTATACCGCGGCCACCTCGGGCGTCGACGGGCGACGCTGTTTCGCAAGATTCGGCGCGCCAAGTACGCCAAAAAGGGCCAGAATGCCACCGAATTTTTCGTGCGTCGACGTTTCCTCCGGCGGGGGGCGGCTATCACGATCCAGAGATGGTTTCGCCCGATTCATCAGCGCATGCGCATGGAAACCATCCACGGCTGGCGCGTCCGCCAAGCTAATCTTTGCATCCAGCGCTACATCAAAGGGTGGCTGGCACGAGTGTTGGCAGGTCGCGCCAAAGCGAGGCTGGTGGCGGCGTCCCAGGACATGCAACGGTATAGAACACCCACAACCTCGACTAGCGCCGCGAGGAGCTGGACGATCATGATTACATTGAAACGAGTGCAATTATATTTCATGGCATTCGTGATGGATCGTAGGGTGTATCGAGGCCATCGAGGCCGACAAGTCGCCCGTGCGAGGTGGCTAGCCCGACGGCGGCTTCTGGCAGCCATCTACGTCCAAAAATTCGTGCGGGGATTCCTAGCGCGATGTTATCGGCGGCGTTTCTTTGTCGAATCCACGGCCGCGGCAATCAAAATGCAAAAAGTGTATCGAGGCAACCAAGGGCGCCGCATTGCTGCCATCGAGTACGTCGTGGTCGTGACGTCGATGTATATGTTGATGCACTAATATTGATGTGGATTTGCATGCACTCCACCTTCAACAAACCCCCACATGAGCCTGTACATTCAAAGTGGAATGTTGTGCCTTGAACACGTAGGCGTGCCAAGAGGACGTTGGCCTCACGGGACAAATACAAAGCGTCGCTGCGGGGCAAACTCGACTTGAAGCTAGACAAGCGAGAGCGCAAGTTTTTACTGCAACGGCAAATTGCCCTCATGGAGATTTCCCACAAAAACCTCAAGCGACGACGGGTGGGATATGAAAAGAAGATGGAGGACGTCCGCGCGCATCGAGCGGCGGTGTGGGCGCGGGCAAACGAAGTCGTGTCCGAGACGTACGCGCTCAAGCGGTACGTGATTCCACTGTAACACCGTGGCGATATGAATGGCATACACCTGAGTGCAGAATGGCATTCAGCTGCGTGCATGTAGATAACTAGCTAGCTCTACATGCGTCTAACCGTTGCATTGTTGTTGCTTTGTTGGTGGTTACTAGCAACCTCGTCGGGGCCAGCGAGAATGTGTTTGTGACCAAGATCGAGCTGGACGAGGATTTGGCGCGACAGGCGTCGCTCACAGCGCAGCTCACGGACGTGCACGTGAAACTGACGGCGTTCAAGCAGATGCTGCAAGCCAAGATCGCCGACGTGCGCGTGATGGACCCGGTCGAGTTTTGGACGATTGCGCGGTCCAGTGGTGTGTTTGACTTTACCAGCCCGAATGATCGTCGCGACGAGAACGACGATGTGGCAGCGGCCTAGTATTGATGTGAGTCTATTTTTAGCGTCGATTACATGTCAAAGTGGCAGCCGCCATGATTATGGCGTGCCTTGAATTCCGTTGATAAGATTGATTCGAGGCCCGCCATCGACCAGAAAGTGTATTATTGCACGTCTCAATGGGCGTTCATTGTTTGTTGTACTTTCAATCAATCGCACACACACATATGTTTGCCGCCCCAGCCGGTGGTCGTAGTTCTGAGTCCACGACCGTTGGGAGTAACCAGCTTCTTGACCCAAATCAGTCTGACGTTCCTTCGACACTACCCCATGCCCATGATCAGGCTAAGGGGGGACATGGCGAAGCAGAGTCCATGTGGTACTTTTGTCCGGCGTTGGATGCGTTCCAGGTGGAGTTGGGAGCGGACATTCGCGACGCATTCCTGAGTCCTTCCAAGCAAACGGTGCCCCTTCAATCGGACGTTGCCTTGCCCCTATTGCACGCCTACGACTTGCCTTTGTCTCCCCTGCCTTCGCCAACGCCCTCAAGCGCTTCGATAGCTCATTCGCCAACACATGATCATCCCGAACGTCGAGCCAGCGCAAGCAGCAGCGACGACTCTGGCCTAGGTGACGACATTGACAACGACGACGACAATGGTTTGGACGAGACGCTGTCTGGGGAGCCTCCCACCACCGGTCGGTGGACAAAGAAGGAGCACGAGCTATTCCTCGAAGGCTTAAGACGGTACGGCAAGTCATGGAAAAGCATTTCGAACCTCGTCGTGTCGCGCACGTTGGTGCAAATTCGCACTCATGCGCAAAAGTACCTCCAGAAGCAATCCAGGTCGTCCAAGACCGGAGCAGCGTACCAGTATTTGGCCGGAAACCAGCCCCCCAGTCGCCACCACACGTTCCATCACCAACAAGCACAATCTACACTCCCGCATCACTTGGCCATGTCGTCCTTCTTCATGCCGCACCAACAGCAGCAGCTACGGTGGCCAGTCCCCCCAGCCTATCAAAACGATGCCATCTATCGCCAATTGATTTTGGCGAACCAACAACACCTCAGCACCACGAGCAACAACGTGATCGACGAACTGTTAGACCACTCGGACGATGACAACGAAAATGCCGACGATGGCAACCAACCAAACAACCATGACGAGTGGGACGACGACGACGACAACGAGCTTCAACACATGATGATGGGTTGCGAAACGAGTGGCGACAAGCGACGGAGTTCGGCCCCGGCGATGTCGTCGTCGCTCAAGCCTCTGGCGCCGTCGGTGGGTTTCAAGCGAAGGCGACTCGACGAGACAGGTACGGCGTACTTGGATCCTGCCGTGTCGTACGTAGCCAGGACGAACCCGTCGACGCACTTTTTATTTCCCAGTCACACATCACCTCAGCAGTTAGGAGGGCCGTATGGACACGTACTACGGAGCCCACAGCTCATTTAACACGATCCACAACCAACGTTTCTACAGTACTCCTGTACTGCGGTTGATTTTACTATGGCTACAATACTCATGTTGAGCTGAAGACATCCTCGAGCCATGACCTTGATCATGAATACAGATATCAGTGCATTCAGTAACACTCAAATATCATAAACCAATTGGGTCCATGATATCGATGCAATCGAGGCATGCCAGATGATGAATATCACATACATGAAATGCCTCTTGAGGCGCAAAGTCCGGTGGCATTCAGTCACTGGATGTAAGTGGGTTGGATTGATACAGAGCTATGTCAAGTAAACTTTCCTCAAACTATCTAAGCACTCCACCTATTTGTTGTACATACAGCTCTCCCGGCTCTGTATTCGCTGTCGGCATGCAGCATGCGCGTCCAATGTTTGTAGGGCTCGTGCAATATATATAGTGACTTTTGACGGTTTCATCATTTGACGTTGACTTATCCGGATTTCCGATGGAAGATCGGCGAATACAAACTCCAAGTATGATTTGTAGCGGTTTCGGATTTGTTGAACCATGAACTGAGTCATGTATCTTCTTCACACCTTCCATTTTCCTTTCCAGTGACGACCAACTCGTGATGATCAGCGGCCTCTTCTTGATCTCCCAGAAGGGAGAAGTGGTGCTCAACCGCCTCTACAGAGATGACGTCAGTCGTCGCGCCGCCGACGCGTTCCGCCTGCAAGTGATTGCCGCCAAGGAAACCGGATCCCTTCCGCCCATCAAAAGCATCGACGGATGCTCGTTCTTGTACACGCGCCACGAAAACCTTTACCTCGTTGCCGTCTCTCGCGCGAACATCAACACAGGTACAAAGATACAAAGACATCACGCGCATGTGATTCTACATCCGCTTGGATTGTCATGTGTCTAATGAGGTCACATGGTAGCGCTTGTGTTTCAATTCCTCACCAACATCAACGGCATCTTCCAAGATTACATGGGGAAAAAGTACAATGAGGTAGACGTGTACACGTCCTGCATTCGATCTTCACATGTCCTCCTTGTAGGAGAGCATTCGGAACAACTTCACGTTGGTGTACGAACTCCTCGATGGTACCACGCCATCCACGTGCTCTTGTGTGTTTCTTACTTCGCATTTCCACGTAGAAACGATGGACTATGGGTATCCTCAAAACTGTGCGTCGGAAGTGCTCAAAATGTACATCAATCTTGGGTCGTTGTCGGTACGATCCATGCTTTTATTGAATCGCCCGAAGTCCTTATGTCTTCTGGCACGGGCAGGCGGAAGCGGCGGCGTCGGCGGCGCAACCTGGCCAATTAACGTCCCAAATCACTGGTGCCATCGACTGGTATCGTCCCCATTGCCTTCATCATCATCGTCGTCGTCACCTGCGATCTCCTTAGGCGACGGGAAGGCATCAAGTACAAGCGCAATGAAGTGTACTTGGACGTGTTTGAGAGCGTCAACTTGCTTATGTCCGCGAACGGCGCCGTGCTTCGCAACGAAGTGGTCGGGCAAGTAGTCATGAAGACCTTGCTCACTGGCATGCCGGAATGCAAGGTACATGCGTTGACCTTGCGGTGAAGTTTGATAGCTTGCGTAACAAACCTGTCTAATGTAGCTCGGGTTGAACGACAAGTTAACCATGCTCAAAGGCGATGGCGCCGCCAAGGCGGCTGGACAGAAGCGGACTCAAAAGGAAGTCGAGGTACAGAACGATGTGATACAGCATGTTATCGCCGCCAGCCAGCACTAATGGACGACGACCAACTGTGGTGTAGATTGACGACTGCACGTTCCACCGATGCGTCCGCCTTGGCAAGTTCGACGCTGACCGCACGATCACGTTTATTCCGCCCGATGGCGAGTTTGAGCTGATGAAGTACAACACAGCAGGCAGAGGAATCGTTCCCTGTGGTTGATGCATTGGTGATTCGTAGGTACCGCGTCACGGAGAACATCAACTTGCCCTTCAAGATCATGCCAGCGTATCAGGAAGGCAGTTCCACTCGCATGGCCGTATCGTTGAAGGTTCGTTGATGATGATGGTCATGCGATATTTGCTAACCCATTCCTTAGATCGCGGCGACTTTCAGTGCGCGTTTGTTTGCGACCAACATTGTAATCAAGATCCCCGTGCCCCAGAACACGGCGCGCTGCAAGATCATTGTGCCCATCGGAACGTACGTCGTCGTCGATGGATGAGAGAGATAACATGGGGCCTCATGCATGTGCGATCGTAGGGCGAAGCATGCACCGGAACACCACGCGATCGTGTGGAAGATCCGAAAGTTCCAAGGCACGTTGGAACGCATGTTGGACGCGGAAATCGAAATGCTCAAGGGCACCAAGGAGAAAGTGTGGTCGCGTCCTCCCATCCAAGTGGAGTTCCAAGTGCCCATGTTCACGTCGTCGGGTCTGCACGTTCGATTCCTCAAAGTGTTCGAGAAGAGCTCGTACCAAACGACCAAGTGGGTGCGCTATGTCTCCCGCGCTGGGCAATACCAATTGCGCATCTAGTTTCACCGCCATCATTGAATATATGCCTTGTGTCACTCTGGACCAGGGCTATGGAACGTTACCATGTGATCAATGGGCATGCTGATGATGCATGCCGTGACTTGTGTTCGACGGAGCAAATGCTGCAGTGGGGAAAATAAGGAAAATAATCGACTTGGATTGGCTGCAAAGATAAAATTCTCGTGAATTGATTGGCTGCCTCGAAACAGATATTTTTGGACTTACATTTTCAAATTTGCGCGCGAAGGAAGAAAGGACAACCGACAGTAGGGTCCGATGGAAGCGACGGAGACATCGGATGGGTTGACAAACAGCGTACAAGGGACGATGTCAAAGGAGAGCTGTATCGAAGAACGGTAGGTCCTTCCACTAATGTGTGCATGGACTGCATGTTATTCGCTCACCATGTTTACCATGGTGTTGGTTGCAGGCGGTATGAAATTGAACGACAACGTGCCGTCAAGGCAAACCTGCAGCGGGATATTGAAAATTTGCAACGAAAGCGCCGTTGCATTGCTTTGCAAAAGAGCCGCCAGGTTGCTGATTACTACACCATGCATGGCCAAGTTTTGCAAATGGAAGAAGCACGAGCCAATGCTCTGGAGAAACGACATGAATTGGACCTGAAGCTGCAAGCCACAACGAAAGAAAAGTCCAAATGGAAGCAGCGGGTCGCCCACGTTGTTGAGATTCAAAGGCAAGAAGCGCTGCGATGGTCTGCGTTCACCGAGAGTATACAAAAGTCCATTGAGGGCCAAGCCAAGCCCCTTGATCTCGAGACCAGTCTGCGTGAGGAGCGCGACATGGTGAACAACGTGCTTCAACAACAGTACGACAACGGGGCCAAGGCGTTGCAAGAAGCCAAGCACGAGATCCACGAAACCAAAATGATACTCAAGGACATGGAGAAAAAGAAAAACATCTTGGCAACCCAACTTCGCCAAGCCCAAGGCAATCACGATCAACTTCTCGCTCGTGAGCAAAGTGCACGCGCCACAACTGAAATGCAGCAGATCATGCGAATGGAACACCCGTCAACGACCCCCGTGTCCAAGCCCCCACGTCGTCGCCACGCGATTAACAACACGATCACGGACAATTAGTTCGCACCCCCCCGTTTTCATAAAACATCGTGTTTATTATATCCATTTGTAGGATTGTAGGGATTTAGTCGGTGTACTTGAACGAGTTGGACCCCAAGTCAATAGCACCGCACAAGTACGTCGAGCGCTTCTTCTTGTTTTTCTCACGGGTGAAATCTTTGCCGCGGACCTTGAGTAGCACCGTGTTGGCCTTGCTGCCGACACCATCTTCACCAAACGTGGCCGCATCTACACGCGAGATTGAGTCAGTCCATCAACAGGAGCCATGTGAACACTCACAGCTGTTGTCGCGAAGGGTTTCGTCCACAATTTGCGTGCTCCAGTATTCACCGTCGACACGCTGGAAGGGCACTCCTTTTTGGCCTTGTTCGCCAAGCTACGTCAATCCTTGAGGTACTGCGGCAATCCAGTTGTTGCACTTACCACCGTTGGCGCTTCAATCTTTTTAGGCGTCCACGCCGCTGCGGCCGCGGCGGCTTCGACGCGGCGCGCTTTTTCCTTAGCTACTTCATCTTCGTCTTCAGATTCGTCCGAGCTTTCGTCCGACGACGAAGAGCTGTCGGAGCTGCTGCTTTCGGTCTTTTGTTTCTTCGAAGGGGTCGACGCCGCCTTGGACGCAGGTAACTTTCGCTTGGCAGGTGCCGCTTTGGTGTCTTCGTCGTCGGAAGAGTCGTCCGAAGAGGACGAGTCTGACGAAGACGAGTCGTCTTTCGCCGCGACAGGTTTCTTGGCGGCCACAACCTTCTTGGTGGCCACGGGCTTCTTTTCCGTTTCGCTGTCGGACGAGTCAGACGAGTCCGAGGAAGACGAGTCGTCTTTCGCCGCGACAGGTTTCTTGGCGGCCACAACCTTCTTTGCGGCCACGGGCTTCTTCTCCGCTTCGCTGTCGGACGAGTCCGAGGAAGACGATTCAGCCTTCTTCGCCACCACTTTCTTGGCAACCACAACCTTCTTGGCAGGTGGTTTTTCATCTTCCGAAGACGAATCGTCCGATGAATCCGAAGACGACGAGTCGGCCTTCTTGACCAATTTTTTAGCAGCAACCACGGGCTTCTTGGCCGCGACGGGCTTTTTGGTGTCTTCATCAGACGAATCATCCGACGAATCCGACGATGATGACGAGTCGTCCTTCTTCGTGGCCACCACCTTCTTGGCAGCGATGGCGGGAGTCTTTTTCGCGGCGACGGCGGCAGGCTTCTTGTCGTCGTCATCGGAGGAGTCGTCCGACGAATCCGACGATGACGACGACGAGTCGTCCTTCTTTGTGGCCACCACCTTCTTGGCAGCGACGACGGGCTTCTTGGCAGCGACGACGGGCTTCTTGGCAGCAGGTTTTTCATCTTCGTCAGACGACGAGTCGTCCGAGGTATCTGACGACGACGACGACGACGCAGCCTTTTTCGAAGCCACCACCTTCTTGGCCGCAACCACCTTCGTCTTCTTGGTGTCCTCATCAGACGACTCGTCCGAGGAATCCGACGAAGAGGACTCTTCTTTGTCCTTCGATCCCCGGGGCTTGGTTGCCAAGTAGTGGTTGTACACTTCAAGCAAGTCCAGCTTATTGGTTGCCGCGAACTCCTATTGGTCGTGTATGATTAGGTTGCGAGCTCCGTGGAATCAAGGTTGGTGAGCATGATGCATATAGATATGTACCTTGTTGGATTCTTGGGTCAAAGCCTTGGCAGATTTCTTCATGCCGCAACTCGTAAGGAACGCATGGATCACAGGGAACAAGTCCGACGCCGCCGTGGTCATGTTGAACAATATCTTAGTGGTTGGTGAGTGTGGAAATGTGGTCGCGACCGGTGATTGGCCCCCGAGAAGAGTCAAAACGTGATTTGATTGGCTCTCGTCGCCTCTGGTACCCATGTGGTGATTGGTGGAGACCGCAGGCACCTCATTCCCTGACCTGCGATGGCCGCCGCAATTGCCGACGATGAGCACGTGATGGTCAAGATCGGAGGGCTGCAGAACAAAGCATGGGCCTCCGATACGTCCAAGTTTGGGTACAAGATGCTGGAGAAGATGGGGTGGAAAGCAGGCCAAGGTGTCGGCAAGGACCTACAAGGGCAAGCGACTCATGTAACGATCGTGAAGCGCACAGACGGCCTAGGGATTGGATGCAGCCTCAAGCAAGCCGAAGTCACGGGATGGAGCTCAACGAGCTCGAATTTCGCCGACGTGTTGGCGGCGTTGAATAAATCGTACGGCGCGCCGGAAGCTTCGGACAAGCCGTCGAAAAAGGACAAGAAGGAGAAGAAGGCGAAGAAGGAAAGCAAGAAGTCGTCCATCAGTCGACGGATTCTGTATGCCAAGCGCATCAAGAACAAGAACGCGACCTCGTACGACGCGAAGGATATGGCGGCCATCCTCGGCGATGCCGTTGGGGCGTGGGGACCTTCGGACGCCTCGAAGAAGGAGAACAAGTCTGAAGACGTCGGCGAAAGCGAGAACGACGACGAAGAAGCGGCGCGGCAGCGAAAGAAGGCCAGGAAGGACGCGAAGAAAGCGAAGAAGGCGGCTAAGCAGGACAGTGAATAGGTCGTCTCGGTGTATGTATGTATTCCTATTTTAATAACCCAAGCAAGCATTAGTATGTTGTTGAAGTGTTTTGCGACGTTCCGATTGGTTCATTCCGACTTTGCATTTTAATCGGACCATCGCATTTGTACTTGATATTTGTAGCCAAAGTTAAAATTCCACACATTCGGATACGTTATTATCCGGATACGCGCGCTTTCCACCCAATCCATTCCAGTGAATCATGGACACTGCAATGCCGCCGCAGCCGCAATCGTCGACGAGTCCGCCTCCAGGACCGGTATCGACGAGTGAAGATGCCCTTGCAGGCATGCATGCTCTCGTGCAGACAGCTTTGGACTACAAGCTCAAGGTACACATGGCCACACAGTCGTCGTCGCTCAATCAGATGGCTGATGTCGTGTGATGTCTCCAGGGCAACCCCGTGACGTACAACGTGCTCGTGTCCAAGTTGGAGGTCCGTAACTCACCCCTTGGCAAATATTTGCTCAATATCCGTTCTGAGCTCGACATGATCCCTCCCCGTAGAACACCAGCGAGGACGAAGAACGCCGACAATTGTACCTTGTCCTGCCACGATGCATCTCCACGTTGACGAAGGACTTGGACGCGTACCACGAGCTCGTGCATCGCATCTACACATTCGACTTCCTCACCACGATGCCCATCATCGATGCGTACATTCGCTTGATCACACACTTGGTCACGGCGCACACATCGTTCCTCCAACCAACGATCCACATGCTCGTGCGCAACCTGCTCCGCGTGCCCCGCCCCGCGCCCTTGTCCGTGTCTCCATTGGCGGTGCAAATCAAGTCCACCCTCACTCGTCGTGTGAGCATCGGCATTCCCACCGTGAACTCTGGTCCGTCAGAAGCCGAGCTGGCCGCACAGTTCGAAGCGTCGCTGCAACAGCGCTTCGCGTCGGTCCACGCAGCGTTCGAGAAGGTTCTGCATCTCGTCCCAGCGTCCATCCATCACGTGTTCCAGTGTCTGTGCGAGTACTACCCGCACAAGCGCCTCGAAACTCCTATCCAGCTGTCGTACCTGACCAATTTGTTTCAATTGACCACGTATGCCAAGGTACACGACACAGACATAAGCCATGTGTGTTGGTTCCATGGATTTTATGCCGCTATTGTCGTTCTTTTACCCAAAATTTGCTTGACTTTTGTGCTGATTCGACAAACCTATCATTGTACTGACTCTTGTATGGACAAAAGGTCCAGTGTCACACTAATTGGAGTCACATACTAAGTCGATGTTGAATTGGTGAAAGAGTGGACTTGATTGGCTACTTAATTCGTGTTTTGTGTTTTGATTGGTCAATCATCGATTGTCTGCCGATGTATTGGCCAAATCTATCGATCGATTCTTTGTACTGAAATTGTATCATCACACTAATTGAAGTCACACACTAATTTGACTGGTTGATGGTGATTTCCTGCCATCGGATTGGCTAAATCCTTGTGCGGATGATTCTATGTAATACAATTAATATATCGCTGCTCTAGTTTAGAATATAAAACCAACACTATTTGGATATGGATGTAGGGATTGCAAGAGCGCGTTCTGGGTCTCGTGGTGGAGAAGCTAGTGGCGATCGACGTGGAAATCAAGCTGGAAGCGACCGAGGAAGACGTGTTCACGATGGACGACTTCTTGGACGATGCGACGTGCGTGGACCCAGAAAACCTCAAGGGCGTCGACGAGATGGCCGACAAGCTGGACCATCTCATGCTCGCCACGTTCACGTACTTGGAGGCGGCGGCGTCCGACCACCCGCGGCTCTTTGCGTTTCTGCTCAAATCGTTCGACCAGAGCATCCTCAACACCCACCGTTCCAAGTACCCACAGTTCCTCCTCTTTTACATCTGCAAGAGTCCGTCCGAGCACCAGGAGCTGCTTCTTTCGCAGCTCATTTCCGTCGCGCTCGATGCCAAGGTCCCACCCGTGACCCGGCTCAGTTGCTCGTCGTACCTGGCGTCATACGTGGCCCGCGCCAAGTACCTCGGCCTCAACGCCATCAAGCACACGCTATTCCACATCATGCGGTACATCCATGGACAAGTGGACGTCCTCGACGAAGCCGCGGCGGCGATAATCCCGCCCTCTTCCATCGTCGACAAGTGCCTCGTGGATCTCGTGCAGTCTGCATGTTACATTGTGTGCTTTCGAGGGCTCGAGCTGTGTGGATCAGAAGCTGGCTACACGTTTGTGCGGTCGCTTGGGTGGACGCGGGTACTGACGTCGCGGCTCCACCCGATGCGGCATGCCGCGTTCCATGGCGCCGTCGCGGCCGAGTTTATGAACGTCGCCGAGTTGTTGGGGTTGGTGTCAGATGAGGCGATCGAAGGGTTGTGGGAAGGCATGAAGCAGGCGCCGTCGGCTAAAACCCTCGAGCGAAGCAGCAGCGCCGCGACTGCCTCCATGTGCTTTTTCCCGTTTGATCCATATTTATTGAGAAGGTCGTTTCGGTTCATCGGGCCCTTGTATTTGTACTGGAAACATGCGGACCCGACGTTCTCGGGCAACTCGGATGCGTTTGCGATGGCCCAAACCCACATGAAGGCGTTCGAAGCCCGCGAACATGGGAGCAGCAGCAGCGACGACGACGACGACGTGGATGACAATGCCAGCATGAGCAGCAGCAGCTACGTGAGTATGGGCGGCAACGCAAGCAGCTTTGTCCGAAGCAGTTTGAGCGAGATGAGCGTCGTGGGCAGTTTTACAGGCAGCGAAGACTTTGAGTTTGGAGGTCGACACAACCCAGCGGTGGTGGTGGTGGCCGATCCCATTGAAGGGTGTGACGGCGCGGCGGCGTCGCGGGGGTTCAAGACCACGTCCCTGTACTACCACGATGAAGAAGAGATTGGCTTTTAACACAAGATAGAGAAAAACGAGATTATATAAGTCGTCATGATGGTGTTTGTTTGTATCGGACGACTCCCAAGTACATGGCCTATGAGAACTCCTATTCCTTGGGAGTAGCAGCAGCAGGAGGCTTTTGGGCGGAGGCGGCGGCGTCGTTCGCGTTGGTCTGGGAACAATCGTGACGTGGAGCAGGCACGTGTGATGCGATTCTTACCTGTTCCATGAGTTCTCCAATCGACTTTTCCAAGTCGTCGATGCGACTGCCCATTTCGTCGATACGTCCAATGATGGCATCAGACATTTGTGCGAATCGGGATTGCTAGCGTCCACGTCAGTCCACATGACGGTCGAAGCATGGAACGGAATGTAGTAGTTACCATTTGCTCCAGCAGGCTCTGCACGAATACTGTTAGTTCTTGCGAATCTTGCTGTCCTGCGGCATTGGCAGCGGCTTCTTCACTTGCTTTGTTCTACACACACAAGGGGAATGATCATGCCATAGGTACTTTCCGTCGCCATCGCCTCCACCTCATTACCATGGTTGCAATAGGACTGGCGGCGGGGGCGCGCTACTTTTGGACTTTGCGTATGCCGTGATTTCTGGACCCGCTCAATTCCGTTTTTTACATTTTAAACACGTACGAAACGAATGGTGTCCATATATTGAGTGAGTCAAACAGTAGTTTTAAACGTTTTAAACAGTGTACTCGTTAAAGTATGGTACCCCTTTCGCACTTAACATGGATCTTTTCTTTCATCATTCAATTGCAGTGCCGCCATGTCCGCGGCGGTTGAGTACAACTGGAATGTCGAGTACAAGAAGGACAAGCGGCTCAAGGAGATGAAGGATGCATGCTACCAGATGCTCACACGTTTGAAGATCGCAGAGACCTCCGCGAAGGAAGCCTCCGCGGTAAGATCCTTGTGGCACCCTTGCTCTTAAGTGTGACTTGTTGGCACGTAGCGACCGAAGAAGACGGTGCCCGTGGTGCCATACAATCTCGACTCGTCCTCTTCCAACACTGACTCGGATGGACGAAACAAATCGTTCTCGAATCCCATGGACGAGATGAGCGAATACGAAAACGATGGCAGCGATCGAGGTCCACGGGCGGCCTCTGTCACCGTCGACCTCTCCGACCGCGATGAAGACAACGAAGACGAAGATGTACGTGTCCCTCATATCCCTCATTATGTCTTACTATCCTCTCTTGACATGGTCACAAGGACTCGGACACTCCTTGTGTCGTGTGCAAACGCAACGACAACGACATGGAGAGTATGTTCTGCGAAACCTGCGACGACCGTACGAACTCCGAGCGCGTGTCCTCGTTCCGTTAACGATTGTTTTTCGCCCTAGTCTACCACACGTATTGTGCTGGAATCTACCAAGTGCCCGAAGGTCCGTTCTATTGCCCCCCATGTTCCAAGAAGACGGCGGCTGTTCTGCTTCAACGCTTTGTACGTTGTCGTGCTATTGCAATGGGCGTTCGTTCATACTATCTGGTGTGTAGATGGCGGCGTCTCCGTCGGACTTGAACGACATGCTCGTGCACGTGGCTTCGTGCCCGAGCATGGAAGAGCCGTGCGTACACCCAACGCACAAGGACCACTGCTCGTTCGTGAAAAACTTACTCCGATGCGCCGCGATGCTCAGTGTGCAGCTCCAAGGCACCAAGGTGGCGTCGCAACTCGCGTTGGCCCTCGGCTACCACGCCGCCCACTGCCACGGAGCGCACTTCTGCCACGTCCCGCACTGCAACGACGCTAACCGACGCAAACACGTGCACCCGGGCGTGCAGCCGCTCAACCTGGACGAAGACGAAGAAGGCGACGATTAAACCATATAACCCCTTGAATATCTAGCCTCGTAAGAACAGCAAAAAATGACTACTATTTTGATGATAGTAGAGAGGTTTCGCAACTCATCTTTACATTACCCTCATCATCACAATCTCGACAAATATCGTTTTCAGGACAATGATAATGACAAAATAATTTACGTTTCGCAACTTATCCTCATCCGTGTCATTGCACTGCCTCCGGTTAAAGAAGTTATTCGGATATATTCGTTGGGTGTTGGTGTCGCCACATTGCGACCATGTCAATCACACAGCGTAACCTCATGGAGCTTGCCCCCTTTGCCAAGACAGCGCGTCAACGAGCCACCCTACATGCACTGATCGCTGCATATGTCATCGAAAGACCACTCATTCCAGCCATTCGCTTCAACCTCGACGCAACAACGAATGCCACTGCCATCCTCGACTATCGCTTTGACATCGCTGGTGTGAAGGAGTTGGGTTTTGTTCTGGGTTTACCTGCTGTCATCATCACACCCAAACGCGTA